CCAAAGGTCACCCGCCACCCATTAGGCGCTGAGCTAAGCGGAAGCGAATGCGCCGCCACCGCCAGCCGCCGCTCCGCTGCGTACGTCCACCAGTCTGGACTTTCTAATGGTTTTCCACAGGCTGCTCCTGCTCACATCATCTCTCCTTCTGTTCTCCTCCGAAACAATAGGCTCTCCAGTCTTACAGCTGCTAGCACCCCAGCCGAGACCGCTCGTTATCTGGCATGGACTCGGCGACACGTACGGCTCACCCGGGATTCTGGAATTTATCTCGCTTGTCCAGGATGTACACCCCGGAATCTTCGTGCACTCTATACATCTGGACACGGACTTGAAGGAGGATCAAAGGGCCACTTTTGTGAGTCATCCACTTTCTTTCTTCCAGTGGTATCAAGGCCAGTGGTTGACCCTTTGACCCGTTGCCGAGTCAAAAGAGTCAGACTGTCAACGGAACAGTTTTGCTAGCCATAATGATTCATAGCACTCCCTGTCTATAAACATGACACATATCAACGTGTCGGTGAACTATGCTTATGGCTAGCAAAACTAATGGCGAGCACCGGCGAGTACGCCTTTGGCGTGCTTGGGCACCTCAGCCATCGGTGGGCTCGCTTATGAGGGCCGGCAAGCATCCCCAAACGGTTTGAAATTGGAACTTTCGCGAGAAGCATCTCTTCGTTGACGTTCTCCCTCTCGATCTGAGGGTCATGATCATGCGTGGGCACACAAAATCATATGACGGTCCCGAATTGTCGCATGACGGGACTCACAAAGCTAGACCGTCAGCCGGGTGCATTGACTGACACCACTGTCTGGCTAAAAACGTCCCATTACACATTCAATCTGATGGCTGTCACGATGTATCAATACATAACGTATTGCGCGACGTGCAGCCGTGAAGGTCTGCAACTGTCCGCTGGGATTTCAGGGGCATTGAATTGCCTGCGCGCGAATCGGGGATGCACGCGCTAGCAGGTGGAAGAACATAGATGCCGGGTCGTGCTGGCCATGGAGTCCGACAGAAATCCGTCAAGGCGGGGAGAACGGCCGGGAGTCCAGTAGTCGTCGATTTGGCTGCGAGTAGGGGGCTTTGATGTGAGACTACTCTGACGTGCTAGAATGCATGCGTTGGACACGTCCGGATGCCGAGCGTCGTCCTACCGTGGCTGAGGCCTGTGGTGGTTGTGTCAGTCAATATCGTCATTATATTTCTTCATCATCCGCTGGCGGCACAGCAATCATCGCATAAAATACCGCTAACTTCCACTCTCACAGTATGGTAACGTCGACGAACAGGTTGATCTCGTCTCGGAGCAACTCGCGAATATAACTGAGCTTGAAGAGGGTTTTGACGCAATCGGCTTTTCGCAAGGTATCACTTTTTTCTTTAGAATGCGAGCTCGGTATTGAGTTTTTGGTTATACAGGTGGACAGTTCTTACGCGCATACGTAGAACGATACAATTCCCCACCAGTACACAACCTCATTACGTTCGGCTCCCAACATATGGGTATTTCGGACATCCCGGGCTGCCGTCCATGGGATCTTGTCTGCCAGCTTGCGCGACGGGCAGCTATGGGCGGTGTCTATTCTGAATGGGCACAGAAGAATCTCGTACAGGTATGTTGACTTTCTCCTTTTTTCATTCGAATGACGCTGAAGTCCCGACCTGTCTCTCCGTGCCAAATGTAGGCACAGTACTACCGAGATCCTGCACGGATGGATACATACCTTTCTTCGAACCACTTCCTCACTTCGATCAACAACGAGCTTGCAGCTACTGCAAATAATACCTACGCCTCAAATTTAAGCTCCCTCAGCAAGCTCGTGCTCGTGCTCTTCCTCCGTGACGACACTGTCGTTCCCAAGGAGAGCAGCTGGTTTGGCTCCTATGCCGTGCCGGACGACAAAGCACTTCACAATGTGGCTGATAAGACGATCGTGCCGATGCGCTTGCAACCACTATACCTGCAGGACTGGATTGGGCTTCGCGCGCTTGATGAGCGTGGCGATGTCCTCCTCGAAACGTGTCCGGGTGAGCATATGCAGGTGACGAGAGACTGCTGGGAGCCGCTTGTCAAACGGTTCGTTGGTGGTGCGACCACTAAATACGTGGTTCCCGACCGGGAGGTGCTACTTGTGCAGCGGTGACTGAGTTGCCTTGCTCTGTCGTGTCCCACTCCTGCCCAATACCGGCCACCTGGATGTGTTATCGTTTCTTGCGCTTGACGTGAGATGGCGTTACTGTTTCCTACCCAGTTATTTTGGAAATGGAATCTTCTTGTGAAGAATGAGAGTGCATGTATTTTTATGCCGGTGATGTTCGTACAGCTACAAGAACTATACTGTTACAATGTGATGAGTGTGTATGCAAGAACCTGAATATGCGTGATTGATGATCGATAAATGGTGTATGTCCGTGATAGTGGAAATATAGATGAAGATCAGGCGACAATGGGCAAGGCTGTATCTGGATCGCTGCTACGCCCAACGTCAGCAATTCGTACACGCTTGCCAGAGAGGTGCGCACTCACTCGACGGTCGTGGGCAGAAAATCGATACATTCGCGTATGACCCTCAGTGTCTCCTTCTTGTCATACAGTACCCGCTCGCAGTTCGTGCACCGTGCATCCCAACATGCGCGTGCCGCGGGCCACTCGAGAAGCCCATGGTTGCACACCGTGTCGCCCAGCGGCCGCACATCCATCTCGAGGATGATCACGTACTTGAGCTCGCGCCAGGTGTGATAGTCGACGATGCACCCGCAGTGCGAGCACGACGTGTCCCCGCCGTCGTTCACGAACGGTGGATCGTCCAGCCGCCGCCGGAGCGCCTCCCGCCGGCTGTGGTGCAGCTCGAACAGGCTCAGCAGCGCGGCCGTCCCCAGTTTCTGCAGAGCAAGCCGGTGCTCGGACGCATGCAGATTCAGCGTGAGCGTATGCTTCGACGCCATTCGTGCCTCCTCCAGCCATCCATACCGGCAGGTGATCGCATAGAGCCGCAACGGATCCGCGATGAACGGCGCGGTCGTGACGAGTGCGCGGACGATAGACATAGGCCCTGGCATGTCGTACTTCTCCGCGGTCTGGAGAATGGGCTCGATGATATCGTAAGAGTCGAGTGGGGGGATGGGCATCCCAGAGATCATACGAAGAACACCCTCAAGGGTCGGCGTGTCCTCGTCAAGGTAGATTATGTCCGCTTGGGTTGGCGTTGCGCTGGCCTCCTTCTTGGCGGGGAGTGTGAACATGGCACGAAACCAGCCCGACGCGATCTTTAGTGTGAAGGAATGCATGCGAAAGAGGGTTCGGTCTCTTGAGCCCAAGATAATGTCTGCATCGACGGAGGAGAAAAGCGAATGAAAGGAGGGCGGCGCTTGGGAGTCCTCGACATTGATGTCGCAATCTGCTTGCATATAATTTGATGAGCGTACCTAGAGAGAGCTACGAGATTCACGACGTCGTTGAGAGCGACACCGAATCTCGAGGATAAGAGCAAAATGAATATGGCTGAAAGAGCTTGTGGTTGCAGAAGCGGTCGGCATTAAGTAGTATTAGATTCGGCTCTAGTGTACTTGTTATGTAATTACATTAACGATTCGGTTGTATCCGCGCTCGGCTCGCGTGACACAGGCATTTCCTGGCTCGCTGCTGCGCGAAGCGGCATCTGAGTCAAACAATATTCTGTAATATTCCTACAGCCGGCTTTGTGAACTCCTTCAACGTAAGAGGACAGCGGGACGGCCAAGCTACGCCCTATGAAAAATATCTAAGGGTGGTGTAGGAATGTCGGTGACTGCCGACGAGCAACTAGCGCTGAGTTTCAATGAGTGGCTGAAAATGTGGCTGAAGGTGAACTTTCAATAAGCTCTTCTATCACAATGATCATAACGGAGACTCTTGCACCGCACTTGAAAGGAAGATAAACCTCGACCTATTCCTTGTATTTATTCTAGCCTAGAATTGACTCGTAAGTTTAAATCGTACTCAGTGCATTCAAGACTGCATCAGTGCGCTAGCAGAATTCCACCGTCGATCTAACAAGAGGATATCAGTATCGCGTTTCAACCTCAATCAAAATACTTATATCCTCACCGCAATAACCGTACCAGAGACAAAGCTTCCTGCTCTCGATCCAAGGTAAAGAACCGTGCCGACAACATCCTGTGCCTCACCAATCCTACCAATTGGAATAACGTCTTTCAACCGTGAAATGAAGCTTTGAGGGTTGCTGGGATCGTTCATTTCGGATGGAACGTTTGCCGGGGCGATGCTATTCACGCGTACGCCCAGTCTAGTAAGCTTATCGGCCAGACTCTGCGTGACACTGTGAGCAGCAGCCTTGGATGCCGCGTAAAGGTGTCCTTGGCCCTTGTAATAAAACGCGGAAACTGATGTGTTGTTGACGATGCATCCGCGCCCTTCGCGGAAGCCCTCATTTGTCTTCGCAGCGCGGACAAGGTAGGGAAGAACGCACGCGGACATCCACTACATGTCGCAAAATATCAGTTAGTCGTCGTCTAGCCTACCAACCAGCTTGACTCACCTGGATGGACCCTGCATTTACTGCAAACTCCTGTGCCCAGTCAACATCCCTTGCCGTTAGGAGCGCATCTCTGATCTCCTCCAGAGTCGCCTCTGCACCCCAGGTTCCCTCCGCCAGCCCAACTCCAGCATTGTTCACCAACATATCCAGCTTCACGTCCTTCTCGACCACGCCTGCATTTTTCTCTCCCGCTATGAAATCCCCGGTCACCCTCCTGCATCCCTCGATAGTAGCAACGTCCCCGACGATGGGTATGATTCTGTCCGGCGCAGTTTCTGCTATCCCTTGTAGTGCAGGGGCTCGACGGCCGGTGATGTACACGCGTGAGGCACCTGCCTCTACAAGCCCCTTTGCGATATAGGAACCCAGCCCGGAGCCTCCACCAGTAACGAGGGCCACACGGCCAGAGAAAGAAAACAAGTTATCAGACATCATCAGCGTTTGAAAGACCAGTGGATGGGTGTATTCGTGTCTCCCTATTACTCGTTTATATCACTTCCTGGTGCTGAACGACTGTGTGTGTAACGCATTTCAACTGACATCCACAGTATGTCCGAGCTGACTGGACTATTGTTAGGATATGTTGTTAGGAGCATGCTCAGCGCGGTACCCACCCCTCTTCCCGAGCGGAGTCGGAGCCGCTCCGAGACCGCTGTAGCATAGTTAAAGGGATAAAACGTCGACGCGTTCCTTTCACTTTGTCCGCCATTGTGATTTTTCGAACGAATATGAACGAAAGTGTCTATCAGAATAATTTCTACAAAGGGTTCGGTCAAGCAGTGGAGACTTCAAGTTAGTCGCAGCCAAGATCTAGATCGCTGTTTGAATAAGTCGCATGGAGATCCGCGACATTGGGTGGGATCCGCGCGCTTTCTCAGCCTCGACAAGGTGTACAGGAACAGTGGAGAACAGTGGAATTTGCCTCACCATGCAGAGAATTAGTAATTGAGGAGGTCGCGACTGAATCATGAGTACTCATCAGACCTCAGCTTCAAATTGCAGACAGGCATGGTGTCTGCTCTTGCTCTGCATCCTCAAATTTCTCCAAAATCACTTAAGAGAGGTCGTTGGAGCTGGCAGGGATGATCGTCATGTTCTCTGATACAATAAATACTCGCGTGTCTAAGTTTCACATCTAATGAGTCCGACATCAAATAGTTAACATATGCGTCAACATGCGCCCATGATGCGGCAATATCCCATTATTGTTTCCGAATGTCTGCGCAACCGCATCATCGACGTTGCTTGCCAGTAGCTATCTAAGCCACAAACCAATCACGCGTCGCTAGTGGTGACCTCCAGTTACCTCTCTTCAGCATAAGCTCACGATTCGGGCCTATAAACCTCGCCAGCGCTCATCTCCAGCATAGGTTGAAATGTTGTGTAACTGGTGGGTATGTTCGGGACCGCCAGATGTCGTAAGTTTAGCAGAATATGCGATCCCTTGCAGATATGTCATGATTGTGCAGGCGATCGATGAGAGAAAGCTCACGGCAAAAGACATAATCGTGATTTCCCAGCTGCATGGAGAATGATGAGTACGAAACGAGGATGGCGCGATAAATTTATTTCTTACAAAAAACAGAGGCCATCTAACGGGTTGTCGTTGAGGCGGTACATCAGGGCATTCGTCAACATGATCACTGGTCAACTCAGCCGATTGACTGTAACCTCATACAGGGCAGTATTCTTACCGAAGATTAAACCATACGCCCATGTTCCGTCGCGGACTAAGACATGCAAGATGCGCTGCCTCCGTATGTCTCTAATCACGCTGTCATAGAATTTGACCAAAGTCAAGCAGAAAAGAATCGTCTCGAACGCTAGTGAGTACATCCTGCAATGCGGCTCCGTTAATACCAGTGTCCTAAACGACGTCGATCAAGCGACACTACTCACCAGAGCGTCATGAAGATTGCGGGGGTTCGAATGATGAAGCATCTTGAATTGAACTTTATGTGGGGAATACTGAGCGCGAGCACGGTGATCATTGCAGTGACTTCAGCAACGAATAGAATTAAAAGGGCTGAAACGACCATGGGATTTTGATTGAACATCGCTCGAACTATCGAGAGGAAAGGGAATGTAAAGTGAGCCTTCACACCACACGGAGACGATTTTTTACCTCGAACTACCAGGACGACCTCAACAACGAGTGTGAGAGCCTCATTGAGCGCGAGTTCATATATAATCCAATTCCGGCATTGATCCGACTGCCATGAAATCGTTCCTTCGCTCTGAATCAGCAGGAATAATATCGTTCTGAATGTTACTGTCAGTTAAAACCAGTCCCAGCCGAGGGCGTAATTACTTTCCCTTGCGCAAAACATGGGATATACCTTATAAAAGCGTATGCACACTGCGCCCACGACCACCGACCTCTTCTAATGGGATATTCATCATTGTGAAAACGTGATACTTCAACCACCTGTAAGATAACTCACGCCCAAATGTATTCTATCTGTAGATAGATTTTTGAGTGGATGTTGTGAAGATGTCCACAAAACAATATACCTCATCCCCTAAATTGAGGATTGTATCATAAACAAGTAGACATGTCGCAGCCGCAGCCAATTTATTGCTCACTGATGGTCGGAGCATATCAGAATGAGCGCTGCCAAATTGGACAAGGGATTACGCAGATAGCTTACAATAAATCTGCCCGGACTGTGCGTCTTGACTCCCGAGGTTCGCCATCAGCATTCGCGGTTCTGATCGAATAGACTCAGTAAGCTGGAGATGGAAGAACTAGTACGGCCGTTCTGCTAGCATCGAAGTTGCATGACGGCGACTTTATATTCCGATTGATAGCATGATAACATGCACCCCGATCCGATTCTCAAGCGCTCTAAGCACTGGGGTGGCAGGTATCAGCCGGGAGGAAAAAATTACAAGGCACGATTTCGCTGCCATGATCCATGGAACGTAAAGCCTTGTAACTCTGGACAAATCCGCAGCGTTCAACAATACCCATAAACCAGCTGCAGTGTTTGGTATTTGCACCCGTGTATCAGCTGGAGCGAGGTGGTGCTATCGTTTTGGGCTCGAGACGTTCATGCCGAACAAGCGCCTTAGAGTGAGCGATAGAAGACTCCCGATATCGTCGGCGTGTTTAAGCGGACACCTCAAATGAATCAAGCGTATTCGAGATATTTCAGGCTTTGAAGGATACCATATGGCTCCCATACGGAGTCGGTCTGTGGAATGGCATGCCGGTGAGACCAAGCGATCCACCACCAAGCCGATTAGTGGTGGTTTCCTTTGATAAGTCTGGCAGGAGAATGGAATGCGGCCTCGCCGTGGATTAATCGATTATCGATGGGCTCTAGTCTCGATGTATGTCAGTGTGCTTGTCAAAGTGGACGTGGTATGTAATCAAACAGAGTAAGGTCGTGAAAATCGCCGGAAGTTCTTCCTATGACTCAGTCCAGCTTACCACAATCGAGGATCCTATACCAGTATACCTTTATCAGTTCGGGCGCAAGTCGATCATCAGTGACAAATGTATACAGAAACCAGAGCGAGACGCACCCTTATGCAATGTCATGGAAGTGCTGAATACAGTGACAGAGATAAGATCATTCTGTAAATCCAGCCGGATCTTCTACGTGAATTTTCGGAACTCGTCGGTTTTTGCAAGGGTCCCAAATGTTGAGTTAGCGACTAGAAGATTGTAACGCAATTCATAATGAGTTAGTTCGAGAGACCAAAAGGAATGCTTACTATTGAATTGCGCAAGCAGCCGCTGCCAACACACCGTGGAGATAGGCTGAAGTTACAGTGAATGCAGAGACAAACTTTCAATTAATGATGAACCATATAGTTGACCTATCTTAAAGTGTCAAGTTCAATAAACATTGTCTGACCATGCTCATTACTGTCAGCATTCACTTCGGGAATATCGTTCGTCGTAGAAGTAAATTGCAGTGTAATTGAACGATCTGTGTCAAAATAGGAAGTTGGGAAACTGTTTGGCCTTGCAAGTCGCTGCAGATTCAGCAAAATATGTGATCCCTTGGCAAAAAAAAATGAGCATATTGGGTATACCATTTTCAGTCAGTTGGGACATACAGCAAAGGACATGACTGTGAGCTCCCACCTATGAAACGACAGTCAGATCAAGAGACAAGGACGACTACAGGGGACTGACACGAAGAACAAACCCGCAAGAGAATTGTGGATGAGACGATACATGAGAGTGTTCGTCAGCATTACCACTATTATGGTGTAGAGGTTGGCTCAATAGATTGATTAGACAGCAGCAAGGAGACTGACTGAAAATCATGCCAAATGCCCATGTTCCGTCACGCACCAACACGTACAGGATGGTCCTCCGCCAGAAAACTCCTTTGATACTAGTGCAGAACTTCACCAGAGTTAGGCTAAAAAGTATCGTTTCGAAGATCAAGGAATACAGCCTAAATATGGTCGCCATTGTCAACCACCAACGCACAGTATTAAAAATCAGCCACGGAACAGATGACTCTTACCAGTATGTTGAAAATATGGCTGGGGTATTAATAATCATGCAATCCATGCGTCCTGAAAACTCAATCTTTGGGATACTCAAGGAGAGAACGGCAACCATCGCTGTAATTTCTGCTGCAAAGAGCGCTAAAACTATCGAGATGACGATGATGCTACGATTGAACATTGCATAGACTAGCACAAAGAAAGGCAGGTATCAGCCAGACGCAAAACGATGGCGGAATAAGGCAGGCATACGCACTTCGAACGATGAGGACTGCCTCGACTACCACTGTCAGCACTTCGTTCACCAACAGCTGATAGATCAACCAGCTGCGACATTGGTCCTTATTCCAGAAAAAGCCGTCGTAGACTCGGAATACCATCAGACATAACATGCTGGTTCAGAGGATCATTAGTAGAGGTGAGCGAAAATTCAAACAGAGCTCACGATTGTGCAAGATACGGAAAGTGCCGTAGGAACAGGTAAGCCCATTGAGTCCACGACCATCGGCGCCTGGCAACATACAAACCATACAGATCTCAAATCGACTCGAGCTCGAATTCAGAATCACTGACGTCCACACGTATTCCACCTGAAAGACACACATCAGACAAGTGCTGTGATATGTAACAAGAGAAGAGCGCACTTCGTCATCGAGATGTATCAAAGTGTCGTAAATAAGAAAACATGTCGCTGCAACCCCAAGCTTATTGGTGACTGGACACCACGAGGCGGGCAGAATAAATTACATTTATGCGCAGTCTGTACAAGACGACAACTCACGATCACTTTGTGCGACGTCGGCCGACATCCGTTCGCGAGGCACAGCGAGTCAATAAGGGGCAGAGTGTTCCTGTGGTTGAAACAGAAAGAAAGAGGTGCTGGGGGCTCTTCCCCAATGCAAGAAGGATACACGAGGCGGACATCTTGACACGTTCCCCGACCGAGCTCCACGGCGCTTTGACTGTGCAGGGAAGGACTGTGGTTCGAAACGCAAAGGCGCTCCGTTAATGCAGGCTGATTGTATCTGCTGTTCTGAAGGAGCCCGCTGTGTGTATCATACTAGGCTGGAAAGGAGCACCGTCGGCACGAGCTACTTCTTTTTATCCAAAGACTAAGATTTCATCACCATATAACTAGTTGGTGCTCGGTGCGGTGTGAATCCGTGGGATTCAGAGAATGCTTCGCAGCAGGTCGTAACTGACTGACATCATCAACCATCGTGGCTAGGTTTTCCTGAGCAGAGGCAGACATCAGATAGAATCGATATCTCCAGAGCGCATAAACGACGAGACTATCGATTTCTGCGAACGCACTGCCAAAGATAGAAGCACATAATTCAAGCTACGTGGAGGCAGTCAGCTGGGGTAATGTGTTAACCAAACCAGAGATACAAATACACCATGTATGTCGATCAATCAGGGAGTATGAATGACGGGCGTGGGCCACCAGACAATCCGCCAGATTGGTAGAACTTTGGCAGAACCTCTCCGCTGTTGTTAGTCTCTCCGCCATGTCTAGCCCTAGGCTTGGACCTCATTCCGCGAAGATGAGCGCACCGGAGTCCCGCATGCAGATGTAATGCAGGTAGTGTTCTGTTCGTTCCCTTGCACTCAGAATCACCGAGCGAACGGAGTGCAGACACGGCCCGGCGGTCCGCGACGCGCTTGTGTTTGCTGAATGTTCCGAACGCCCACGTCCATCAGAACGCAAAACGAGGAAGAGAGCTTGTGTTCACGCGGCGAGCAAGTCAGCCTGTGCGAGGGCAAAGGTTAAATTCTGCAACGACGATGCTGAAGACGCACGCGGCCCGGGCCGTGCCACAATGAATTCGAGCGATGCTATCAGTCTACATTCAAAAGTTGGAACATTAGGATCCAAACTTTTGCGCCGCGTAGGCTGAATGAGTACGTGCAGATCGAGAACACAGAAAAGACCCTTACTATACTCGATCGACCAGGCTCAACTTCTAGGTCGATAGTGTGATCAGCTATTCAGGCTGGAGTAAGAGCAGGCGAGAATCACGGTTGAGCACGTCAGCGGCAAGGTCACAGAAGCCATGTATTAGATATTCCAATATAGATAAGAGCATATCCCAGATAGACGGTACGGGCTAGGTTTTCATTAAATTTGTATTAAAAGCTACGCAGAAGTGACTCACGTGTGTTCCAATGGGATCGGCGCAACAATATGAGTAGTGAGTCCATTTGTGTATCAGACTATCGTGGCATAGTCAAGAAAAAACCGCCAAGCGATCAACCAGGCGATATTCCCAGAAGCACAACATGTTCGTCCAATCCGACAGTTTTGATTTCCTAGTGTTGGAGACGCAAGCCAGAATGAGGTGGAATTGCGAGTGGTGAAATACGAAGTTTCCGTATCCCCGTCTGCGTTTGAAAAGGCGACAACGAAAAGCAACGTCAAAGTTCAACTTCAACTTCAAGCGCTGCATAATGATGTCATGTGACGATGATGGTTCGCAGAGCGCCGCGGGGTCGCAGAAAAAGAGTGGTCCGTTGTTTTGAGACGAATGCCGACTCCAGTCCGGACTCCGAGGTCATATATTCCTGGAGCTTGTAAAGGTTAACAGTTTTCCATAAGTGTTGTGGTGCAGGAAAAATAGCGTTACAGAGAATTTTTTTAAACAAAATTTTATAGAATAATTTGGCAACACTCATCCGCTCATCCCCTACATAGCTACATAGTGTCCTATACAGCTATACAGCTAGTATATTCCGATCATGTTCATGGATTTCGACGGGCACCTCACTTGCATCTCCCAATTCTGGCACAAATAGCATAGAATTGCATGTCGTAAAGCACAAGCCTTCAGACACTTCGGGCACTGAAAGCCGCCGGAGATTCAGTAAGATGTGCGATCCCTAGTCGTCACGATGTTCATAAGTAATGCCAAATTATGATATTCAAGGAACAGAAACGTACAGCAAAAGATGGTATTGCTAGCCCCCAGCTGTCCGAATGGCACTGAGTTTATGATCAAATAGAAGGTAGTTACCTTACCAGAACCACAGTCCCGCTAGTCCATTGTGGTCAAGGCGATACATGAGCGTATTCGCCAACAATATGACTAGAAGATATATCGTTAAACATGACTCGACAAATTATCGAAACCACTTACTAAATATTAAAGCATATGCCCATGCGCCGTCACGGACGAGTACATACAGAACAGAACTCCTCCAATCCGCCCCTCTGGCGCTGGTGTAAAACTTCACTAAAGTCAACCCAAACAGAATGGTCTCGAATGCCAATGATAGCAGTCTATGGTACCACAATCGTCGACGATCAACGCATGATGAAACCATTAGGGGAGAGTGATGTCACTCACAAATACAATGTTAAGATCTTCGGTACATGGCTGATCAGGCAATTTGAACTATCAAGGAATCGGATCCCTGGTTTGGAGAGAGCGAGAATGACAATCATTGCGGCAATTTCTGCCACAAAAAGCAGGAACAAAACCGTCACTATGGCAACATTGTGGTTGAACATTGCGTAGACTGGTAGATGAGGATATGTAGTCAGAATGCATCAGCTTGGGTGTTGTTATTGCGTACCTCGAACAACTAAAACAGCTTCAACGACGACTATAAGTGCTTGAAAGACTGACAGCTGATAGATGAGCCAGTCCAGACATTTTTCAGGACCCCAGGGAGAACTATCTTGGGCTCGTAGTAGCATCATTAATATTGCGCTTATTCGTGATTTAGGCAATCAGTACCATTCAGATAGTCGGATGTCCAGAATGACTCACCTCTCCGCAAGGTAGGGAAAGTGGCGTACAAAGATGTAGGCACACTGCATCCATGATCGATGCGCTCTAGCGTTGTGCGGTTCGGACGAGCCTCAGCCTCAGTCAAGCAAGTTCATACCCAATCATCACTGACTTCCAGATGTATTCGATCTGCGAAAAACCGGATCGGATTAGCGCGGAAATTGTGTCGGAATGGGCCATGGAATGTCCGCACTTCATCTTCGATATGGAGCAGAGCGTCATACACAAGAAAACTCGTTGCTGCAACAGTCACAGTGCAACTCCAGGCTAACTTCCCCAGAGTCCAGGGTTGATGAGGTGACCCCAGTATATTTCGTTAAGTGGGAGTTATGAATGAACGAGCGTGACTCACCAGCAAACTGCGCTTGACTGGCAGCAGACATCCGTTGCCGAAGTACAGTAGCAGACGGAGTAACAGCGAAGATGTCGAATGCTGTGTGAGTATCTGGATCTTATATATACCATTTTGAACATCCAAACAGAACCATCCATACCACGAGCAAATTCCGCGGCGCCCTTAGCTTCATTGACGAGAACTCTAACTTCAGCGCCCTGGCCGCTCAACCATACTTGATAGCGCTCGATAGACAACGATTAGATGCTCACTACAAATTCTAAAATTGGTGTGAAAGGTGCATGACTATAGACTGTATGATTCTGGCATCGCTGCTATATCATCAGATGAACTTCAATGCGACAAGATCTGTCAGCGCCCGGTAAGATTCCACAAGGTCGTACGGCTTTAAGAACTTACTTCCATGCCACAGGACTGTGGAAGGGAAGCTGCTCGCATGAGACGAAAGCCGATACATCTCTGTCGAGAAAGTCGAGATTCCATAGTGAGAAGGTCGCTCGCAGTCTCCGCCCGATGATGTCTTACCACCAAGTGTGCCTGTGGAGTCTGCTAGTCGTATACCGGAAGCGATAGCTGTCAGAGGGCGTACACGTCGTCATTGCACTGAGAATAGACTGGAAGACTGATCTCACTGACATGGTTAAATCCTCTCTCTGCACTCATTTCTCTCAGCAGGTGACAGGCTGGCCAGTCTACAGCATCTCATAGAAGAAAAATTGTAGCACGAAGATAGTAGATTGACACACGCAACTATTCAATTTGAGAATATGATGAGCGCGAGTCATCACCGTAAGATCAAGACAACTCACCATCGATTCTAATAGCATCGGCTACTACTTAGTGACGTGATGCAGCACGACAAGGCACATACTGCCAATTTCTGCTCACACAAAACGCGGGACAACCATGTGGTCTCCGACCGAGCTTCACAGCGCTTCGCGATTGCAGGGAAGCCCTCAACCAGCAGAGTAAAACCTTTTGACATTGGCGCCGAATAGTGGTTAACCGCAGACATGTAGTGTGATGCTCGACTAGCTAAGGGTAGCCTCTCTATGCTTCAAGTCGGGTACCGTGAGGGAAATAACGTCTGTTTCCCATCAAATACCTAGTTGCTGGCGAGCGAAAGAATTGAATCGTCGCAGTGTGCTAGCGCTAGGCTAAAGCCACATCCGGTGAAGTGTATCGTGACAGCATGACAGGCGGTATCCATGGGACAAACGGACAGCATCCCCGTCTTTCATAAACGACAAAAACTATCACAAATATGCGCAAAACATAGACCACACGGCCAGAAAGTGAAGTAGACATAACAGACAGTACAATGTCAGACAATCGGGCACTCACTTCGCATTGCGGTCCACTTGGGTTCTGAAACCCGAGAACAGGAATACGCCGCAAACGGGCCACCCAGGCATGTCTACGTCTTCAGGCAACCGCGCTTTCTGGGCCCAGCCTATGACCAGGCACAAGCCTCGAAAGGATAAAGTGATCGTCGTAGGCTAACTTATCCCCATGCGCTCAATGTGTAAGCGCAAGTAATATGCTTGTTCCGCATTCCGACGAAAGCAGGGTGTGGTTTCCCTGGACGTTCAGAAGCAGAGAACCTGGATGTATCGCGGCCCGCCGGGCAGTGGCGGCATCCCGCACGCCCGGTGGTTTTCGAACGGAGGGTGAGCTGCAATAACACATGTACGTGATTGCGGCTCCCCCGACGGGGACATTCTGCGGTACTCGCCTTGAGCAAAAATAAAATCACAAATGTGGTTGTGTTGGATGGAACAGATGGTGTGGAGAGCCCAGGTACGGGACCGGAGCGACGTCATCAAGCTGCGTGTGCGTTGGAGATCCCTGCGGCATTTCCCGTTGTGTATGTCGATCCACCCCGGGTTGATTGAGCGAGTGGGTCACCGCCCATCAACGCATATGAACGCGCAGGTAGCAAAAGGATCTTGCCACGTTCCGGTGCTCCAAGCCAAGTCTGGGGATGCTATCAGCTGCTGAAGCAGCAGCACCAGGAGCAGAGATCATGGTTAGAAGAAGAGTTCAATGATTTAGTCATAGAATTCAATTCAGAGGCTGCAAGACATAATCAGACGTTCTGAATCCAGCTGGCAGCTGCCGATGGAGGGTGGATCGTCTTCCACGTAAAAAGCTGTGCTGCACGCAAAGATCAGAGATGAAGAAGCGTTCTAAGATTCGAAGCCGTGCATACCTCTTCCATACCTCTTCTCGTCGGTAGACGACACGACGACACCCTCGGAAGTGACGGGTTGAAACGATACATGCACCAGGGGAGCGAGGTCAGGTCGTTTGCTAGTTCGAGAGCCCAAATGCCGATGGAGGAGAGGATAACAAATGCCAAGGTGGTCACGACTGACAAAATGAGGGAACTTACTCATATCGACACGAGATAGTCTGGCGGCACACGTAATCGCATCCGATACGAAAATAACTGATGCGATGCGGGGCAAGTTTCCCCAGGTTTCAGGAGGTTCGAAGCTTACGTCCAGGCGCAGAGTGAATTGGAGGATTGACAATGTACTGGCCTCCCGAATATAGCAGGTGCATGTGAGAGTTGCGTGAAGACTCGCGGGATTGCTTCGGGGAGCCAGGGCTTCTCCTCTTCTTGGTCATCGACATCCATCTCCTCCTCGTCGAGGGTGTGCGCCCTCGCAGCTGAAACCATACCCTCCTCCTCTGGTTGGTTGCGGTGTCCCGCGTACGGACAGGACCGGGTGCGAGTCCGCCCAAGTTCAATCACGGGACGCGCACCATTGCCTAATTTGGCGCACCAGGTCTCATGCTGAATGCAGCGGAGGCCTATAAAGCTTTCTCCTCTCCACCGACTCTTTGCAGTGACTCCTCTCCCCCGAATTTCGCGTTTATCTACTCTAGCGTCGCATAAATCCTCTCATCTCCCTTCCTCCTTGTCCTGTGCATCATCTGTGAGTGCTCCCCTACTCCTCATCATAGACCGGGGTGCCCGTTCGGCTGTCTTCCCTCTAATGTCTTCTGGAGGCGCATACAACATGCGCTTGAGTCGGCCATTCGCCACTTCCGTTTTTTTTACCACCGTGTTTAAACCGCCCTTATGGGTGCTCGTTCTCTGATCCGTTTTGCTCACATCTTTTCACTCCTAGTATCTTACCACAATGGCCTACCGTACTCCCTACGTGACGCCTCACATTCTTCACAAGAACTATGCTCAAGCCTTCGATGCTGAGCCGAGCAAACGTATGTGCTGCTTTGTTGTTCAATCTGTCCGGCGCAGATTCATTCCGTCCGTTCCGCAGTGGTTGGACGGGACCTGGAATATTTCTCCCAGGCTGGATTCGACATGGACCGGATCCAGATCAAGCGCAATGCCCCCGTCGCACAGCTATACGAGGATGCTATCCGGAATGAGGGCGCCATCATCTCGTCGTCCGGTGCGCTCATCAACTTCTCCGGGAAGAAGACCGGCCGTAGCCCCAAGGACAAGCGTATTGTTTATGAAGAGACGAGCAAGGACGAGATCTGGTGGGGTTCCGTGAACATTATGATGGATGAACGTGAGCACCGGTCTGCCCACGCCGTGCTCTCACCGTTGACTGTCATTACCAGACACATTTGAGATCAACCGCGAGCGCGCCATTGACTACCTCAACACCCGCGACAACGTCTACGTCTTCGACGGCTATGCCGGGGTAAGTGAATTGACGTCATGGGAACGCGGGCAGTTCTAACCTGCGACGCTGATGTGCAGTGGGATCCGAAGTACCGCATCAAGGTCCGGGTCATCTGTGCCCGTGCATACCATGCCCTCTTCATGGTAAGCGCCCGAAGTCGAGTCGCGTCGCGGTCTCACTGACGTCACGTGTGTCCAGAACAATATGCTCATCCGCCCAACGGAGGAAGAGCTCAAGGACTTTGGCGAGCCCGACTTCATTATTTACAATGCCGGCCAATTCCCTGCGAATCGTTTCACCAAGGGCATGTCATCGACCACATCCGTCGAGATCAACTTCAAGCGGATGGAGATGGTCATCCTCGGTACTGAGTACGCCGGCGAGATGAAGAAGGGCGTCTTCTCGGTCATGGTATGCCTGGTTCGTTGCATTCTTCGGAGGTCGGCTTGCTCACGTGATCCGCACAGCACTACCTCCAACCTGTGAAATTCGGTCAGCTCTCGCTACACTCCTCTGCCAACGTCGGCATCGAGAAGGGTGACGTGACTCTCTTCTTTGGTCTCTCCGGCACTGGCAAGACGACACTCTCTGCCGACCCCAACCGTCTGCTCATCGGCGACGATGAGCATGTTTGGTCCGATACGGGTGTGTTCAACATCGAGGGTGGGTGCTACGCCAAGTGCATCAATCTTTCTGCGGAGAAGGAACCTGAGATCTTTAACGCTATCCGCTTCGGCGGCATCCTCGAGAACGTCGTATACAACCCTCTTACCCGTGTGCCCGACTACGACGATGTCAGCATCACGGAGAACACACGTTGCGCGTACCCCATCGAGTTCATTCCGAACGCGAAGATCCCCTGTATCGTCAACACGCAGCCAAGCAATATCATCATGTTGACTTGCGATGCGTTTGGTGTTCTCCCCCCCGTCAGCAAGCTCACCCCGGAGCAGGCGAGCTACCATTTCCTTGCCGGTTATACCTCGTAAGCACCTATTGTTATGACTTATCGCGCCGTTTACTCAACTAATACGCACTCTAGGAAAACCCCTGGCACGGAAGACGGTGTGCTCGAGCCTATCCCGACTTTCTCGACGTGCTACAGTGCGCCCTTCATCGTCCTGCACCCCGGTCGATACGCAGAGATGCTCGCGGAGCGCATGTCGAAGCACAACGTGAACTGCTGGCTGATCAACACCGGCTGGACAGGCGGCAAGTTCGGTACGGGCAAGCGCTGCCCGCTCAAGTACACGCGCATGATCGTCGATGCTGTGCACTCGGGTGCGCTCGCGCAGGCCGAGTACGAGACGTTCGGCACGTTCAACCTCCAGATCCCCACTGGGCTCGAGGGTGTCCCGCGCGACCTTCTCAACCCGCGCCTGGCGTGGTCGGACAAGGAAGCGTTCGAGCGCGAGGTGCGCAAGCTTGCGGGCATGTTCCAGAAGGCGTTTGCGTTGTATGAGCAGGATGTCGACGCGAAGGTGCGTGCGGCAGGCCCGCAGGTAGCGTGAGTCTTGCGCAGAGACGGGCAGTGTTAGATGAGAGGAATATCCTATAATTGCGATCGGATCATTAAGTCACATACTATTAGCGGGTCGATACCGGCATCAGACAATGTGTGTATGCATAAATGTATTGTATCAACACAAGTGATATTTCGAGGGGCGACAAGGCGGGTTCAGAGGCGTACTTCAGGTATGTCTCATTGTTTGACGGCAAATGAACTCTGTTTCTTCAACATTGCCTTTTTCACGATGGATTGAGCTATGCCATCCGGCGGGTACAAGATGAGTGTCTCCAATCTTCGTTGCCTATATCAAATATTCCCTCAGTAGATATTGCTTGCGAACAGCTAAGCCGAACATGAATCATTCAGTGCATATACTGGCAGCTGCAAGAGCAGAACAGAACGTACGTCAACTGCAAGCATTGCTATGAGTTCTGCGCCAACCACGCGCGAATCATCTCCAGCGTTCCTGTGTCCACCGACTCGCTCCTGGGCGAAGCAGGCGTCCGATCCCGCGGCTCTCGCCCGTGACTACTCTCGTGCAAGACGACGCGCGGGCCCAGGTCCCGCCCCATCTTCTCCCCCAGCGTGCGACATGCGCTCACAAGTCGGTCCCCACGGCCGACAGCCACGAACGTGCGCGGAAAGCCCGCGAACGACGCCTCCCCGTAGAGCGACGCGGGCGAGAGGTACGCGTCCGTGTCCACCGCGGCGAACGCGAGCGGGTCCCCGTACGCGCGGCGCACCGCGACGTACGCGCCGGGGCGCGGGTCCAGGTCCTCCAGGAAGCCGTACGTCTGCGCGAGCGCGCCCGCCCCGGGTGTGTCGTGCGACGTGCCGAGGTCGCACCACGGCGAGAGCAGGACCATCGCGTGCGCCCAGCGCGGTTCGGGGGACAGGGGTGCTTGCGGCGAAGCGGGCGGAGGTGGCGAATGCCATCCCGCCGTCCGCGCGAGGCCGTCGCCGTGCGTTGCGAGGTACCGCGCGAGTGCGAGTGCGAGGTGTCCGCCGGCGGCTTCGCCGACGAGGACGACGTTCTGGGGAGACACGCCCGTGGCGGAGAGGAGATGCGCGTATGCTGCGAGTGCGTCGAGGAGGGCGGCGGGGAACGGGTCGCGGTACACGGGTGTCAGTTCGCACAGGCGGTATTCGACGGCGAGCGCGCGCCGCGCTGTGGGGATCTGCGCCAAAATCGCGCGGGGTACGCAGGTGAGGTGGCGGAGTTGCTCCTGTGAAGGAGACGGGGTGGGTGTGGACCCGCTGAACTCCCCGCTGTGGAAGAAGAGGACAACCTTCTCGTCCTTGGTTAGCGGAGCGCCTATGGGCGTATCGTGTCCCTCCTTGTCTATCCAAAACCCGCGAGCGGCTACAGGCTTCACGTTGGCATCCCGCGCCCGCTGCGCGAGATCGCCGATGATCAGCTCTGGTACGGGATCAAGCCTGACACTTTTGATGTTGTTCACCCGCGGGGGTAGGGTATGCGCGCACCACAAATCCACGGGGCTTGGTCTATCCCATCGGTACGATAAGACTTATCGTCGATTCCGCTTCAACATCACACACCTTATGGGCGCCGAACACGCCTCTGATGAGATTGTACGTCTTGAAGAGGCTGTCTTCCGATTGCATGACGAGGCATTCGAGGGTCGTAGGGCGCTGTTCGATGGTGAGAGCTGGGTATGAGAGCACCCACTGACAGCTTCAAAGGTGCTTTGTAGACGGCGGAAGGTCTGAGGTCGTAACGGTTGCATCACCACCAGTCTTGTATGACGTGCGGGGGGGATGGGGGAAGGATTTCGTAGAATAGTCGACTCACCCGATCCTTTAACATTCGGGACAAGGATGCAAGGCCACATGGGGTGGACTTCTTCACCAGTCGTCTTTACTCCTTCTGCAGTCAGCTAGCAGAACGGGGATACCAATGATCTTCGTGAGAGCCGAAATGAAGCGGCGCCTATGCTGCCAGTCCACCCTCGAGTGCGCAAGAAAAGTAAGTTTTTGAGACGTGGCTAGTGTTGAAAAATGAAGTTAGGTGGGCTTGTAATAATATGTCCGCATAAACATCATTTCAAGCGTAATGAAAGAACTCTCTTCGTTGGTCGTCCCGTAGGGCATTAATATCGAACAAGAAAATGGGCACAATTCGTCGTCACTGTAAGGTCTTACCGTACGGGCATATAACCAGATGGAGAAAAGCATCACGCTCCAGATAAGTAAGGCGCAGCCGCGCATTGATCAGGAGCACTGATTCCAATTTGGAAGGGCCTTGGCGGTCCGATGAGCATAAACGCCCTTTTCTTCCACCTCCGGTGATACATATTGAAATCATGGAATGGCTTGCACCACAACGTCATTTGCGATTCTGACCGTCCTGACACCGCATGATTTCGATCAGGATAACTCGTGTTACCACACGAGATTGAGATTTCCCCTTGGAGGTGTCCGACACCAACGAGATAAGGAACAGATTCATATTACTGGATACTAGCATTGCGGAACCAAGGACATACCATGTTGCAACCTATTCAGTGTGGTCGTATTCGAGTTGATGAAATTCCGAGAATCCGCTGGTACCTAATTGGCAGGAGTACTCTGGCTTTCTTCGCCGGTGTATTTTTTCGTCGTTCTGAAGGAAAGAAGCTTTATTATGGTAGAAAGCTCCTTGGAGTCTCTGGTCTCAGAAATTACGATCATTCAACTCTGTCTCTAGGACATCAAAAAAGCAGATGTCACTGAACAGAATGTACAATATGTCACTTAGTTCAAGCCCAGAGACTTCGTGTTCATACAACTGACGTGTACTGGGTTTCCGACATCGGGATTCACCACTCCAGACGGACGCCTGGACTGTCTAATCCAGCCGGAATGATAGTCTCGTACCAGAACCGTCCACGTGTGCACGTGAGAGGGGCTTGCGTCTGAACCTAGCCGGAATGAGAGATCTGAGAGGGCCACGTTGACCAATAAGAACATACCTGAGACTCGGTCGAAGTGCTACGGTTGAAGTAAATTTTAGATAGATAACAGAAATCGATGCAAAGCTCAGCGAAATGGATTGGTTGAGTCGATATATATTGCAAGACGAGTATGATAGCTGCATGTGGCGAGATGTGGTGGCGTCCAAGGAGTCCGGGAGGCGGGAGGCGGCCGCGCTGGCGCGCACGACCAGTCTCAGGATTACTACGGCGAGTTGGCGTCCAACTGATTTTATCTCCTCCAGCAACACTGATCTTGATTTTTTTCTGCAGAAGAAAGTCCGCTTCACACAGGTAATTCAAGTCCGGCCTCGGAAACACAGACTCGAAGAGGGATGCCACCCGCAGCACCTCACCTGAACGGAATTCATGCCACACATATGTATTTGCGGGGTGGTGAAAGATCGCAGTCGCATTCAATCAGCCGGTTCGGATCTTGTGGAAGAAATATTTGAACAGCTGACCAAGACTTAGTGGATCATAAGTAGGACTCATGAGGCAATCTGGGTGCAAAGCTATCTAGCTAACACAATGTCCTCCAACACGATCGTCCTCTTAGATATCCCATGCGTCGTCGAGGGTCGCGCCTGGTCACCCAACACATGGAAGACGCGGTAAGTCGAACCAATCTCTGTAACGGGATAATGCCTGAGATGATGGCACAGATTTGCTTTGAATTATAAAGGCCTTCCTTTCACGGTAAAGTGGGTCGAGTACCCCGACATTGCGCAAGCATGCAAAGACATTGGTGCCGATCCAACCGGTACTCGTGCGGACGGGTCTCCTAGCTACACGCTCCCTGCGATCTACGATCCGTCCACTGGTAGGGGCATAGCAGAGTCTGCCCTTATTGCACGATATCTCGATAAGACATATCCCGACACCCCTAGACTCATTCCTGCAGAGACAGATGCGTTTCACGCTGCATTCCAAGAGGCATTCTTTCATTTGATCCAGTCGAAGATGAAAATCATGTCGTGTCCAACCGCTGCTCAGCTCAACCCACCCAGCGAAGCATTCTACCGGAAGACCCGAGAGACAATTTTTGGCAAGCGACTAGAGGAGATTTCACCAGAGGGAACTGTTCGAGAAACGCAGCTGAAGCAGCTGCAGGAGGGATTTACCAAGATCGCAGGATGGTTCTCTATGGATGGAAATGATAAATTGTTCTTCATGGGGAATACCATAAGCCACGCCGACACTAGCGTTGCAGGTTGGTTGATGTGGATAAGGCAGATACTAGGACGGGATGGACCCGAGTGGACGGCAATTCAGACGTGGGATGGTGGAAGGTGGGCAAGGTACATGCAGTATTTCGAGAAATACGAGGTAGCCAGTATTTGATGGCAGCCTACAACAGTCCAGCATGTACAGCCACGATTCATAGGTGACTCGGATTAGCATACACGAAGGGATAAAGCACACGCTGTCATCATGGAAAGACGTTTAGCTGGTGAAGGGAGTTGCTACACTGACTCGGCAAGGAGAAACTAGCATGTCATCGAGATATCAGTGCATCAGCAAAAATTCTTGTACCCGACGAACCTGGAACCTGCCTGAAAACCAAAAGGTTCAATAACAAAGGCAGATCCGTTGGAGGCCAGGTATCTAGTGGGTTTGAATCCTAATCCATAATCCGTACAACATGAACCGAACTGTAACACATGACTATAAGCTTAGCTGATCAATATACCTTAAGAAGATGGTATGGGATATGTGCTTTGCACTGTCTGAACTAAGTGGGCGGCCAGGCAGACGTTGAATCTCGGTAGTTAGCGCTCCAGGCCTCCACCGTTTGTCCCTGCCAACTGGAGACGACACAGGAAACACTGTTCCATACGTCGCTAACAACGCCTACCCAACCATCGCGTCGTAATACGTCTGAAACGTAGGAGATGGACCAGTATGAATGAAAGGGTATCGAACATTGCGAGGTATCGGGTTTGGTAGCATAGAGGTAGAGGTCGGCGTAGAACGGATCATAATAAGTCGTGAGGAAGGCGCGTCTGGCACGAATGTTCGAGAACCTGACGATGTTTCAGAATTTGAGTGAGTGCAATAACAACCATACGTACCGGTACATGAGAAGGAGGAAAATAAGCTGAACAAAGACAAACCCCCAGAACAGCCATGCGTTCCAAGTAAATCGTTGTTCCGAAATCACAGCGGGCTGCCGAAACGTTCAGACGCGGAGCCTCGTTAAATCAAAATATGACGCACAAGGAGTTTAGTCCGTCTCATACTTTCCTTGAGAGGTTGATACTTGTTCTTGATGTCACTCTCCGCATTCTTGACCAGCTGTAATGACTTGGAGATCTTGTGCCTTGCGTTCCGTGCCGCCCGAGAAGCATCCTCCAAGGCATCGACATTGTTCTCATCAACAACAAGGGCCCGGTACGACCTATAATCAGTGAGATGGCGCAAATAAGTTAGCAAGTAGCACTCACGTCTCCGCTTCATTCAACGCTTCGGCCATGTCTGCAATCGTCTCTCGGACTCGTGCGAGCGCCTCATTGTGCGACAGAGGGAGACAGGAGTCGACCGGCTGCAGCTCACTAACATCCCGTATTTCGCGACCCATGGCATCAACAATCCTATTTCTCGGAGTCGGTGGACGCGCGGCATGCTGCAATTCCCTACTGCCAACCTTGTCTTCCACAGAACGCAAGTCAGTGGCTGCAGCATCTGGATCAGTAGTAGTTTCGCGGCCATATGCATCGACAATGCGGATGCTGGTTTTCTTAACCGGGCGGGGCTTAGTGGGGCCCTCGCTTTTTGTCGAGGGACGTGGATCACTAGTCTCAATGTTCGACTCCGTTGAGATATCGGTTGACTGCCCGTTCGCCGCGGGGAGACTGAGGGCTTCCGCAGGTGGGGCGTCCGTCCCACAGTCCGACACAGTGGTCTCAGATTCTACGTCGAACCGGACCTTCAAAACACTCTTTCTGCGCGCCGTGCCGGGAGTAGCCATCCATGCCCCTGGAGGCGCAGGTGTCTGTAAAGGAACGGAGCTCGCTCTTGGCCATGTAGAAAGTGGTGTGGTGAGAATGCTCTCAGTTGAAGCTTCCGGCCCATCCGGTGGCGTTGATTGCGCACGCATGAAAGGATCGTGAGCTGTGTGATCCGGAGTTTGGGCCCAAGCTCCTGGTGGTCGGGGAGTCTTCATGTTTGTGAGGTTCCCGGGGGCGTACGTGTTCACCGGTGTATGTTCACTTTCCTCGCTTTCCTCCTCGGTAAACGAAGGAGGATCGGGAAGTTCGGGCATATTTCGGGGAGGTGAGGGAGTCTTGAATTCTAGTTTCGAGACACTTGACTCCTTCGTGCGTGGGGGTGTTTGTAAGGAAAACATTGATCGTTGGGGCCCAGGTGATAGCGGGGGAGATTCGGGTTTCGCAACAGTATCAGATGGGACAGAAGAAAAGCCGTCGATCGTTTGCGTATAATCGGGTGACAGTGGGGGCGTCGTACTTGCAGGCAGAACCATTGGCTTGGCAGTGGGAGTACTTGTCGCCGGGGGAGAATCCTCATCGCTCACTGGCAGCGATATATCAGATGTTTTGCCCAGCAGTGTATTGATGTAAAACTCACCAAAGACGGAATCCTCGAATGGTACAGGCTTAAGTTCTGGGACAGGCTCGGGGTCTATAATGCGAGGAGGAATAGCACCCACAGTGTGACTGAACTCAGTCAGATTTCTCCTGTGCCCCCTTCGTCGATCCGATTCTTCCATAGGAGAATGCGAACGCTCGAAGCTCGAAATCTTGTTGGGGGATCGAACGGGTATCATACTAGTGTTTGCTGCGCCATTGAGCCTGCTCGACGGTCGCTGCGGAGGTCTTTCTGGAGAATGCGTGTCAAGCTCGAGGGGAGGCAACGGCGCTCGGTTTTGTGGAAACGACCATCCAAATCGCGATCGGAACCCAGATGCTTGTGTGCTCTCCTTCAAGCCTGGTGAAATGTCCACTTTCGATGCAGATGACGGAGACCGCGCCTTATCAGCGGCCAGGCTGTTGCTTGCACTGGAGGGTAAAAGGGGCGATTTTGATCTAGGTAGTGTCTGACCTATCGTCCCAGATGAAAGTGTTGCACTCTCTTGCAATGAACTCAACTTGAACGATGCGGAACTGTTCGCGCGCGGCCGTACATATGATTCGCGTCGCGGACTCTTGGGCGGTGTCCCCGCCTTCTGCCCAGGGGGCGGAGCGAGTGTGCTCGGCATGGGCGAGGAAGGTCGTCCTTGATGCGGGGGTTGCTGCACCCACCGTGGCCGAGGTGAGTTCCAGTTCCGTTCTCGCTCTTGCGCTACCTCCGGCTTCGTATCGAGATTGTGATCATGACTCGAGACGGACCCAGCAGGCGAAGCCGCTCTGCTCGACCCCGAGATAGAGTTCATCGACGAATGTCGTGATAATGTCCGATGCGCCGACGAAACGAATGCTTGCGCCGATTCAGGTCTTTGCGGCTCGCTCATTGTGCGCGTCCGTTCCCGCAAACTGAGGCTGGACGATGGGCGCGACAGCTTTGACTTGGGTTTATTCCACTCGCGCTCCCGTTCTTTCTGGCGCTCCCGCTCTGTCTCTTTCTTCCAATCTGAGTCTGCGAATAGCCGTCAGCTGTATGCCTCATATTTGAGGGGACCACTCACGTTCCGCAAGGGACACTACAGAGCTCGCTCTCGAAGACCTGCCATCTTCCGTCGTACGGAGAGATGTCACACTACTCCGTCTCGACAACGACCGTGCGGGACTGGCTCGTCCACCTGATGAGAGACTGTCCCGATCGTGCTGTTCAAGGTTCGCGCGGTTCAGCGATAGTTTACCTTGTGGACGATTCCACTTCCGTTCTCGTTCATGCAGGCGTTCACGCTGTACTCCGTCTCCGCGTTCCGCATTCGCTGTGATAATGTCAGCCTGCATCAACTTCCCACTACTGCTTGACTGACTATCTGCCCCTGATTGTGATGATCCTGCGTGTATTACTGGTTCCTTTTCAGACAGAGCCGACAGGATAAGTATTAACTGCTCACATGAATTATCCAAATCAAGACTTTTGCGTCGTACGAGAGGAAGATTATGGGTTGAATGTGATTTCGAGTGAGATGTCCACGACAAGGGTCGCGCTGGCGACGCAGGATGACCATTCGGCCGCGAGGGAGGAAATGACACTACAAACTGTTAGCGTCAGTGACACCATGAAGGGGAACACTCTCACATGGTCGTCCATTCAACAATGAATCGCCCTCATCACTTTCCATACCCCTCAATGCTCGTTGCATCTCAGAATCCCCTTCAAGCAAATCTACACCTGGCGTCAATGGGGCAATCAGGCGAGCACATTCGAACCTCACTTGATTGTGTCTGCAGCTGCGCGGACATCACGAGAGAGCGCATTGGCGTGCTCGTCGCATGCGGTGGCGTCGCTTCCGATCTGTTTAGATCTCGAAATAACGTTGCTGTGTCTTCAGTCATATCTGCTGGTGGCATCGACAAGTCCACGACCATCCCTGGACGAAACTTGAGCCTTGAGATGAGTGACGCTGTGTATGAACGTACGGTCTGGTGGAGGTGTTGGAGGCATCGAGCGAGATTGGTTCAAGCGTTTCACCAGTGCCCCATATGTTGCAGCAGCTTGTGACGAGCGGAGCGACTCTTCAGATCGCCGAGATACATCTAGACATTGTTATGAGCCAGTTGTCTACAGCCTTGAGCAAAACGCACTGGACAGATGCTCCGCCTCCTCGTCACTCATGCTTCTCCGTTTTCCCTTGGCCTTTGTCCTCTCCTGCACCACTCGCTCAATACGTAGACTTTCATCCGCCTCGGCCGTTCCAACGCTGTTCCTTCGGAGTCTCCCCTTGTGAGGTGTACCTCCAGAATCACGAAGGGCATGCGAGAACAACTCCTTGACACTTTCCCGCGCGAAACTAGGCGTTGCGAGGGTCGAATAAGGCGGATCAAGGTCGGAATCCGCCTCAGATGGTGTTGCAGGTCTTAAGGGCGGGCGCTGAGGGGAGGTGGTGGTGGTAGTTCGGAGGAGCGCGCGCAGGCGTGCAGAGGCTGATTCTGCGGCAGGTTCTGAGGCCATGGGGGCAGAAGGCATTCGGGGCGTCGATTCTGCGTCTTCTTCGTCCTCGCTCTGGTTGTCGGATGGATACCGCGAAGGACCAGCAGTGGGGGTGAGGAGGGTGTCCGTTCGATGTTGCGGAGAGAGTCTAGTAAGTCGGAGGCGCGGTATTGGGAGAGGGGGAGAGGTATCCATTTGTATGTGGGTCTATGCTCGCCGTCGCCGACAGCGACGACGAAGAGAGAAGAACAATGTCCTACGGAGAACCTACGAAGAACAAAAACGCAAGGTTCGCGTGGATCACACGCGGCGTTGGCGCTAACCGAACGCAAACAACTTGAAAATATAGTCCCCGCAGTTGGCGCCTCAGACAGCTGCTTGGAGCAGTTTTTGTAAATAGAGCAGGTCTCCAAGAGCGATGTTAGGTTATGGGTGGTTCATCATGCCTTGGTCATGCCACAAGCTTAAGCCTTAGCAGAGTCTGTAATCAGCGCTTAACTGTGTGGTACTCAGCCACAGTCGCGTCGCACGGAGATCATCGTCAGAGTGCGGATTAACTCGACGAGGAGCCTGGTCACTTCTGCAGACGAATTGAGTTCTTGCACGGTGCGTGATATACAGAAGTCGACAATGGAGCGACTGACTGACTCTAGTATCTACAACAGAGCTATGAGCCAGTCTGTGGCCGCTTCTTCACGGCAATCGTACCTGCCGCACTCTGCGACGAACGCGGCTGCGGCTGCGAAGCTGCTGGAGAAAAAGAAAGAGTTCGAAGCTGTAGCTGCTCTGGAGCAAGCAAGCACCCAGTTTCTTAAGAGAATAGAAGAGCTGGGAGATGATTTTGATATTATGGCTGATGCTGGTCGAGGTGTGTCTTTTGACTACCAATAATTCCCGATGACCTTGTTCTGACTAGGAACAGTCCATGGGCAAGTGCTTGAACAATGGCCTTATATGTTTAAGATACTTCACTTGTTTTGTGAGTGTCTGTACAAAACTTCTCGCTTTCCGCGTTTAAATGAGGACAGTATCAACGCGCGAGCAGCACTCGAACTCGGCCGAAATACCCATTGCACCTTCGCAGGGAGAACGACTAATTCGCGTCCCAGTGGAAGAGTTACGGCCATCAGAAGAGAAATCATAAATATACAGTGCGCCACTAAACGCTCCTGCTATGTAGTGTATCGATGGATATTATGTAGCATAACTCCGCGTCATGCCTTAGATGCCCCAGCGTTCTTCTTTTGCTCCTTCAACGCAGCTATGCGCTAGTTTAAGATATACCTCAGTAACAGAACTTCTGCAGGAAGGTGAGACGTACTTGTTTTCTCTCTTCCTTTCTACGTGCCATTTCTGCGGCTTTCTCTTCCTTCGTCATTCCTGCCGTGCTTGACTGTGGGGTCGCTGCACCACTCATGGGTCTGTCATGAACAGCAGGACTCGCTCTACCACTGTCAGAGGGTGTCGGGGATCTCGTCATATTCGACATGGTTGACAACCTATTGTTTGTGGGAGGTGACCGTGTCATGCCTGCCCGTATTCCCACTGGTTGATGAATAGGTAATGTAGGAGATTTCGATGATGCACCCCAGCCGTTAGATGGTAGTTTTGCTCCTGAGGGACTCGGGCTTGCCCATGGGTCGTCGCCTTCAGGATGCGTCAGATGAGTTACGTGGGCTCGAGCACTGGATAAACTGACTAGAATAATGCAGAGCGGGACTGTTCTGATCGAGCACGTCGCTGAATCCCAGACCTACTATTGGTACTGGCGCACTCTCGAATGCACCTGAATTCGAATCCAGTGCCTCAGTAACATCAAGTTGAGCGCATTGCAGCGAATATACTCACTCCAATCATCTTGATCTGCGTTGACATCAATCAAATCGTCGTTGCCCCAAGGGTTTCTAGGGGTATCAGCCTCTGCGGCAGCTTCCTGGGCCCAGTCTGACGTCGCCTTGTTCGCAGACAAGCTGGCAGGTACTTTGTTTGCTCCTAACTGCATACTCTTCGTCTTTCCTGCAGAATCCACGGCACGGACAGGTGCAGCCGGGGACGAAAGTGTAGTCCCCAGTCGAGATGATGGACGACTATCTGACCCATCTACGGAGTTTGCTACCGCAGCTGGAGGGGCCAAACCTGATCGTTCTGCACCGTCCATGGTACTCTGTAGATCAGCCGCAGCGAGCTGCGCCATATAACGAAGGTGAGGTCAGCATTACCTTCGAAATTAAGGGTAAGTTGATCAGCAGACCTTCCTCCCTAGCGAGGATATAGCCCAGCCGGCAAGCGCCCCAGCAGCACCTGCTGCACTGTTTACAAGTGTGCTAGAGCCGGGGACATTGGCGGGAAGGAAGCCCAGAGCTGTGGGATCGTTCTCTGATTCAACAGTTTCTGGCTAATGCGTCCAATTAGTTCAGTATAGAAAAAACACACTCATGGACAGCTTACCATCGCGGCAGCGTGCTCTTCTAGCTTCTTGACAAATAATTCCATGGCCTTGAAAGCTTGATCTCGTACCAGCCTTGCATGATCATCGCCAGCCAATCCCAAATTTCTCAGCCTAAGTGCAAGTTGACGAAACCATCTATGAAGCTTACTTCTCCTTGTCTATCATGGCAAAAGCCATGTTAGGTATAACCTTAGTGGCTAGATCCTCCATATCGAAGCAATCGATTGTGGCCATGAAGGCCATCAGACCAGCAACTCGCGCGTGAACAAAAGGGTCCTTCAGAGCACGCGTAAACGCCGGGACAAGCACTTTACGTTTCGTATTATATCCCAACGACGGCCCGAGTCGGCCTATGAGGATGCAAGTATTCGTACGAATGGATGCCTCAGGGTCACCCTGCATCTTAGCGAGGAATCTCAAAAGATCGTTGTTCAGTATACGATCGTTGAACTAATTTTTATATTAAATGGTGTTGTACATCGAAGACGACGGTAACTGACCTTATCCGACAATAAAATGATGGATTTCACTGTAGCTTCCCGGATGATGGCCACAGTATCCGAAAATCCAGTTTGCTGCGGGATCGGTCAGGCGCGATACACGTATGCGATAGTAGACTGATACCAAATGCGGCCACATCTTGTCCACTACAGTCTTCTTGTCCAGCTTGTCAGCATAATCTGGTAGGTGATCAAGTAGAGCGAGCCTCGTGCCGCGATCAGGACTTGCGAAGAGTTGAACCAAATGCGCCAATATCACGGTCGGATAATCTGCAGGGGCAACACTCTTTCCCAGCTGCAGAACCAGAGGAAGGATGGCTGGGGCAGAGGCGCCACCGAACTGTAGAGCGGACAATAAGGATGGGAGTACCCGATAGGAGATGAATTCAGACGGAAACGAAGACGACGATTCTTTCAGGGTCCTACATAGACACAATTTGAGTCAGTGATTCGCTAGCCTCATATCAGGCGAATGCTAATACCGTAGGAGTAACGTCTTCTCGCTCTCATTTCCCAAGCTAAAATTGTCCAATCCAGCACAAACCTTCACTAAACGGTTGTTGGCAAAGAAACCAGAGCCATCTCCAGCGGTTTCTGCCATCCCAAGTTCCAAGAACGTCTTCGGGGTGAGGCGTGCCTTGGGGTTGGGATTGAGAAGTCTTTTAAATGATGAGAAAAGGGCACTAGGGATAGAACCGCGCGAGGACGCTGTTGGAGGTGGATGAGGAGGCTGTGCCGTAGCAGGAATGGGGAGCGATGGATTGAACACGGAGTGGATGAGGAGACCAAGAGCATATGCGTCCGCCGCCGGCGGGGAGTGCCTAGACGCAACTTAGTACAAAATCGGGGGATATGCAAATGTTACAGTTACTCTTTCAAGATGGACCACCCGGCCTTTTTGACTTCCGGTGACGCATAAGTGGAGGCGTCAGGCAGCATACTACCCATGCTCTGACATAAGATAGGTTTTCATTTATTTCTTCATTCAACAGTATGCTACGTACATAGAGTATGGCGCCATCCTCCTTGGGGTTGCTCAGCACTTCGAACCCACCCAACTTCCACTCGCCGGAGGTTGTAATGAAAATTGAATCCATTCGGACATTCCCATGCGTTGATGCACATGAATCGTTCACAAAAGCCAGTGCTACCTGATTATCAGTTGCAAACACCTTTCCGGATCAAATACAAAACGGAAAAGTGCCAACCGATATTCGATGGAGACCCCAGATCAGCCAGTCCTCTTTCTCTTGCGCACCCTTGGAAGACCATTGTGACACTGCAGAAGCGAGCGGTTGGATTCGTTCCGTCATAATGTAAATGGTAGTATCCGTTTCGACCGCATCCATGAATCTGAGGACGTCCGGATGGCGAACCGTCCGGAGCTTCCGAAGCGCATTTTTAGCTAATGGCAGAATATTCTTCTTCGCCGGCGTGTTTGCATCAAATTCGAAAATAGATATGGGCGAACCATCGTCCTGGAAGGTGCGAATAGTGAAGCACAGCCATTCAACAAGGAGCGTGTACATTTAGGCGTACCCTTTTACTACCTTCATACAGTGCCCAGATAGAATGGTTGTCGTATGCGGTGACCCTAGCACCCAAGGAGAACGGTAGACTCAGACCAGATTTCTGTACGAGCGAAGAAACTGCTGCAGAACCCAGGGTCCTCAAATAATCCATGGACAACTGGACAGCCTCTCCAGAAGCGAAAGCGAGGAACTAAGGGGTACACGCGCGCACACGCTAGAGAGATGAATCAAGACCTAAACCTTTAGAGCTGCCAAAAGCCACTGGCTGCGCTCGCAGTCAAGATGGTTGAACCAGGTCATCACTGGCAGGTCGCAGCCTGCGTTAACCCCTTATCCGCACAAAACGGGGATACTTCACTAAAGAGATTACTTATTTGTGTAAGTATAGCTTGTAGTCCTGTACAATGTCATCGCGGAGTTTATAGACCAAGAATAGAACAATTGACCTGACGGGGACGCCACAGCGAGCAACTTTGCGCTGCAACCACCACGACCCTATCGCGACTGCTGACAGTTCCATACTGGATCCCAGTCGCATTGTATTCATAAGTCTCTTTTGGCATCCCTTGCCTCTCAATTCTCTTCTCGCGATAGGAACTGCGGCATCTCTGGACGGAAGAACCTTCAATTTATATAACGGAGCTGGAATCACTCAAACATTACGCTGACGTCTACCGGCTTGAACTATACTCTTGCAGTTCCGCCGTATTAGCGGCACCTCCACCAAGCATCCCAAGTCTTCTGCATCCAGACTTGTAGATTTATTCTGGAGTTTCCATGGAGCGTGCTGCTGTAAACGGACATAATTCGGGACCTTCGGAAGGACAACCTTACACGAATGGCTTTCATGATCACACCATGGAGGAACTTGAGCGTGAACTTCCTGTTGTTCATGATGGGCAAGTGCCGCTAGGAGAGCTTGTATCGCGGACGGTCCAGGCGATTTATGCCGAGCTCTCAGAATTAGCGGAAACGTTGGTCAAGTACAATTTTTGCAAATATCCAGCTGTTGACATGATATAGGCTTCCGAATATGTCCGATACTGCTCGAAAACGGACATTGGCGGATTGGGTGGTGCAGACGAAGAGGCAGGTAGTGAAGTTATACGCAGTGGTGAAGTGGGCGCGTGATGCGGATGTTGTACAAAAAGCCATGGTACTTCTTTGTGAAGTCGCGAAGTGCTGTTCATTGTTGATACCGCCTTACAGAATGTCACAGCATTCCTCATGGACCAAAACCGCCAGTTTGAGGATGCCATTCACGGACTAAAATATGCCAAAGACAGCCTTGATCCGGCTAGGTGCGTGCTGGAACGAGTCACACAGCTGGCATTCCTAAGACGAAGGGGTCAAGGTTGCGGAATCATGATCTACTGACCTCCTTGGATGTCCTCACCACCGGCTCTTATCGGAGGCTGCCCTCTGCGATCAAGGTTGATACTGGTATTGGTTTCTTGATTTCCGACTCACGAACAGTCTACAGAAATTGGTCGTTCCTATCGCACCTCTTTCAGATGACGAAGTTGCAAAAACACTGACCGATGTTGAAGCAGCGATACGCTTTAGACTTAAGATGACCGAGATCATACCTGCCGAGATGTCTCAATATCGCATTGGCAAGGCACTCTTTCGATACGATTTCGGCAATACTGAACTGGCCTTACAGCTGATGGTCGCGTTAACTTCGTCGTACCAAAACTATTCGAGACTTCTCTTTGCGTTCGGGGTGCTGAGAAGGATGATGGCTGGTTTTTTGTCAATGTCGAGTTTTTATTTACTGTTGGCGGAGATCGGACTGGGATGCAAGGTAGAATGGCCTATCTTCCTTCATCGTCATGGTTCTCATTCGTCCTCAGAGTTCCCTCGCAAACCAACTGGTCTGCTCAAGAGGCACATAACAGACGAGGCCGATGCTCGCCTTGCGTTCTACCTTCCTCTTCTCCCTAACCAAGGTCCGCCTCCTGAGAAAGAAGCGCCTACACGACCTCAACTTCCTGAAGGGGTCTCTGACGCGCCCCTCGTACGTGTTTTCAATTTTCTCCGTAAGGTATTTTGTCTCGTCAATGTGGGCGAATTCTAACACGAATCAGAGATGATGTCGTTGTCATACCAGCTGGAGATATTGTGGTATCAAGTGAGTGAGGACACATTGTTGCTGAATGCGTGTTAAGCTTCTGTCTAGGCTGAGAGGCTCCGCTCTTTAGGCTGGGCCGAATTCCTGAGAGTCCGAATGACACCTAATCGCCAGTCGATGTCCATTTCATATTGGATGTTTGTGTCACAGCTTAATCTTAATCTTCTGGGGCCTTCTAATGTACCATACAGACGAAAGTCGCCACCTCACCTTCCTGGAAGACCCGCCCCTCAACGATCCAAAATCCCTGGCCTTGGCGGCACACTTACCATATCTATTGTACGAATACCGACCCCTCCAAAGAATAAGGCGAATCGTTCCCCGAGAGCTCGCGTTCTTGCAGAATTGCAAGAGAAATCAAAACTTGATGGTGGGCGCCCTTCAGACGACATTGAACCTTTGAGGTTTGAAATAAAGTGGGAGCCGGAGAAAGGTGCACTAGGTGTGATGACCCCCTTTGAAGATATTCGACTTCCACAGGCCGAATTATCCATAGTAAGTGACTTGCTTTATTATCGACACAATCATTTGCGAGTATTACTGCTACAGGATCCAGACAATCTTGACATCGAAGCTATTTTACGAAAGGTGATCAAGAGACACACGGAAGCGATTTTGAATGCTATCAAGTTCCAACTTCAACATGCACCGTCCACCCGCAGTATATTCTCTCCTCCGGGAGAGGTCAGTCTTGTCGTAGAAGGTGTGCATTAGCAAGTTTCAATGGGGATCTGCTGATCTAACAATGTCCTATTGACGACATGAAGATGGAGTGTACGCCTTGCGTACACACCTCTGCGCAGACGAAGTCGTCATTATAACAATCGATTCGAGGACAGGACGCCTGAATCTACGAGATACTGGAGATCTTGCTGCAGCTGGTAGAGGAAGACGTTTCGCCTTGATCACTGAGAAGCTCAATGAGAGCCCGAATCTGTTGGCCGATGCCCTCATCCGGCTGAAATTCACCGTGAGACCATATGTTTTCCAAATTTTACACAATTGGTCTTACCTTATGTTCGCAGACGATCACGGACCTAGCAGAACAAAGGGCCAATTATTTAGGGCTTCAGAGTTACCGTACTCGGAACTTTTCTCGAGAAGGTATGGTTATCGGATTGTTCCTTCGTGCACTACTCAGCCGTCGATAGAGCTGCAAAAGCTGGGACCGTCTGCGCGGGGTATGCTGTACATTCAACTTGCGAAGTTCCCTTTGCATTACCTTGTCCTGGTCATTACCGATGAAGACTTCCGATACGCTCTCATTTCAGCGGAGGTTCTGCAAGACACGATGTTCCACGATATGACCATGAAAGACATAGGATGGTTGGATGTACGACGGGTACATGGTGATCAAATTACTGTAACATTGCGCAACGGGCCACACACAGAACCAACTACTGGACAAAAGCGGAAACGTGACCCGAGTGACGAGCCAGATTCGATGGACCCGGCGGAAATGTATACACCGCGGTAAAACACTTTTCCACTACCGGCTGTGCGCTGCAAGAACTGATGTCGTGGTTGTGCAGTTTCAACTTGGAGACACAAGTGCTCCGTGAGCTATACGCATATTGTTGGTGAGCGCCCTCGCAACTTTAGCTCTTCTCACCGAAGACATGATATGCGATCCAGTGCCCGAGTTGCATACTACAAGATAGAACAACAGTTCAAGTCGCGTAGTATCCCCTACACCATTGTAAGCTCCGCAGCCACCGCTCAACTCCCAGAGCTTGCGCACATTCAGTCCTCCCTGGCCCACTCCATCCCAGCCCTCTGCGTCGAATCATCCGTCATCCTCTCTGGTGCTCCCGCTGCAGAAGCGGCAATGCCAAACATTCGGGTGATACCGCTGAACTGGTGGTCTGACAGGCAAGCGCAGGTGAGGATCACCGTCCAAATGCAACAGAACGAGACTAACGCACCGAGCAAGGTCGTAACATGTGTAAAATTGAAGTACGTTCAGCAACCCGTTGGCAAGAGGGCAGGGAGCACTGTGATTCGGCCATCCAAGAGAATCATATACGATACCACTGAGGCTATCGTCTCTTTTCTTTCCGAAGACGTTGACAAATGTGTGGATGAATTCCTGGAGGAATGGGCACGCGTGTCCAAGATGGTTGTCATCGCTCGTGAAGGCAAGTTAGCCTCGTCTGCGTGAATGTCTGCGATACTCACACTTTTATAATCAAAGTTGCGGAAATGTCGCGTAACAAGAAATGGAAGGGTGTGCGACTGCTCTCGTTCGACCTGCAAACTGTGGAATTCGCATACGCTGCTGATTACGCTGTATCGATCACTTGCACAGACCAGCTGTCGCCTACGGGCGGCTCATATGACATGCAGTTCTCTCGGGTATGCAGCATTACAGACGATCATCCGATGGGCAGAGATGATCAAGCGCAGTATAATCCTCACGAAGACCTAGAACCATTTCTCCGCAACCTCCTCCGACATGGCCGGCTTGCACCGAGTCTACAGCGCCTAGTGCGGCTGCTGAGGGATACATTACCTATCGTCGCGGAACTAGACGCCATCAGCCTGAGCGCAGCAGAGAGTGGGGAGAACGTGGATGTATTCCCCAAGGCAGCCGGCTGGTTCAGGGTGCTCTATGGTGACTTTAGGTGAATTTTATCAAGCCTTCTCGCCAGGAACATACGAACTTATTTAGATTTTAGACATGCCCTCGACTTCCGATTAATGACCGGTGGACGTGTTGCGATGATCGACGGCGCTACCTCACTTTTCTTCGCGGATGCGCCTAGGTCATCGACTTCTGCGGGTGGTTCCCTCACGAAACCATCCAAGTCATCTCATATATCTTCAAGTGCAAGCTTAGATAGCACAGCTCTCCTGCAACCTATTCCAGACTTTACGACTCTTGTGGAAGGTGCGGCGCGGGACGTGCTGGCGCGCACCTCGCCCAACCGCCATATCGCACCAATCGATATTGGCGTGGTGTGTAGCACTGCAGCTGTTCGTGAGGTGGGAAGGGTATTGCATGAGCGGATACTAGGGCGTCTCAAGTCATCCAACGGAAGAGAGTGAACATGACTGTCTTCATTTTATGTGAGCTATCTTTGCACTGCTTAATCGGGTCTCTAACGGACTTGCCCGCTAGATCGTAATACATAGCTAATAATTATGGATAAACGATCTCATAAATGACCTGAATGTAAAAGTACGGATGCAAGCAGCCCGCGTTCACTGTTTTATTTCCATGTCGTCATGGCCTACAAAGCCGGACTTTGTATTAGGGTCTTCTGCTTTGGATTACACATGGGCACGCTTCGCCCAACAATGATTGATGGCGTGTCATAAAAGTCCTAGGCTGTTGATGAGCACTCGAGTGCCGCATTCATGAGGGTCCACTTGAAAAGCACTGCGTCGCCAAGAGCCATAGGATGCATATGAAGTATTGTCAAAATAAATCCCAAGTTTGTACCTTCGTACTCGCTCACTGCGCACGAATATGTGGTAGGGAAAATCCTTGTCCGGTCACCTATATATGTGGCATGAGTATGTCATTGTCGAGCCCTCTCATTGCAGCACATTTCAAGTGCACCGTTCGTGTATTTTCACGCCCACCGCTTCTCTATCCACCGCTTCTGAGATACTCCAAACGACCATCCGCCCACATCTGTTCTTCCATCGTCATTTCCGTTATCATCGCCATCCTATCCTGGTGATTGAATGCACCGTCGCCTCGCGCAAGGCTCCGAGCCTTCATGCCTTGCCGAGGCTGCGTCCGATGCTACGCATTCGCGCGAGATCTTCGTTCGTCGAATGTGATTAATTTCTTCCAACAATGCCAGCCGGAAACCACTTCCTGGGCCGCATCTTTCTGCCTCGCGCGTCATTTCCTCCAGCTCTAGTTTTGGAAACACGGACTCAAGCTGAGCTGCTAGAGCTGCAACATTCTCCTCGCGTGATGATCCGTACAACTCCAAATTATACATCTCGATCCTTTGCAAATTGTGCGACAAAAGGTCATGTAGGTCGAGACGGAAATTAGGAAAGAGCGTCAAGTGGTCCAGACCCACCAGCCGTAAGAGGTGACAGGCAGACGCTACTTCAAGCAAAATCTGTAACGAGTTGCATGCCGGAAGCCTTTTCGTATAAATCTTGAATGTTTCAAGATTTGGCCAATGGAGAACCATGTCATGTAATCCAACACAATCAGAAGGCAATGGGGCGTTCAATTCGATGGAGCGCAGCAGATGCATAGAGCGAAGGGGAGAGAAAAATGGCGCGAGAGGCAAACAGCATACACAGTGACCAGTTACTTTGAGTTCGTTCAGCAACGGTGAAAGTGTAGCAGAAATGACTTCGAGGAATGCAAACATGTAGCATGAATGGGGGGTAAGGTCCATTTCCCAGAAAGCTAAATGAATTGCCCGGAGCATAGGCCACTCACACTTCTAGATGAGACTTGTCGCCACATTGTGTTCCGAAGTCATATCCAGAGTGCGCAAAGAGCGAAAGCATCCCATTATTCCGCGCGATAAAGCGTCTTGATCATCCCAAATCTTGGACACAGTAAGGTAGAGATTGGCTAGACCAGGCATCGCCAGAAGTGCGTTGAGAACCATATCATTGATGAAATGTATTTTGACCCGAACTGTTTCAAGGTGCTTGAATGCGTCAATAAATAGGACGGCGCACATGGAATCTCACGTCCTCTTCACATTTTCATCCCATTCCATTCCATCCAGGTAAATCTCCTGAATGCGAGCCGACCCAGCGGCAAATTCTGGCACGATTTTTGACAGCTGGGGATAGAAGAGGCTATCTTGGGTTTCCGAAAGAGACAGTGGGGAGCGTAGGGTCAAGGTTCGAAGCTTTGAGCCTGCCATACACAACAAGACTCGGCCCGTGTTTGCAGTCACCGCGTGTATACCTTGCGCATCCCATCTCAAGCGCATGAGATTTGGAAAGAAAGGACCGCCGAGCCGGGCAGCAATATGCTGGATGATGGGGAGGCGATCGTCCAACTTTACCTCTTCATCTATGCTATTAATACTACGCACACGGATAGCGTACTGGCGAAATCGGTCTAAATCACGGGCGTGAATTTCACCGTTAATGACCTGTTGGTCGTATGAGGAAGCAGCGTTCAGGGAGCACGGAATACGCACGTATGTCTGTTTCTGGTGCGGATTGTTGCACGACAGAATAAAAATAGCTTGGAAAGAAGGCAAGACGTTGAGAGCAACGGACTCCGAGGGGATCTCCCTCCAGAGGTTGTTGAGGGCGTGATAAGAGAGTGTCTTATTGACGAATGCTGCACTGGCGAGGGTCCACTTGATAAGGTCTGCGTCGCTCAAAGTGATATCGCTATACAATGCATTGTCAAAACGAAGGTAAGAGAATATCTCTTCGAGGACGTCGTCACATTCGAGGGCGCGGTGAGCCTGAGCGGTTCGCATCATGATCGGAGACCGACTCGACTAGCTTTAGATTCCTATATACTTATCAGTCTATGGGGCTCGATCTGTAAGGAAAAATAACGATCCAAGCCCTTGGAGGAGGGGGAGGGGGAGGAGGAGGATCGGGGGCCCTACTACGTGCTTGTCAAAAACAGCGGCCGGTGACGATTTATTACACTCGAAGTGCGCTAGACCTCGCGCGATATGGAGACTGTTTCACGGCCGACACTGCTCGTGTTGGTTGGAAATGGACCATTATGTTCATTAGATTAACGCTGCATATATATATTCGCGTGAAATGTTGGCGTACTGATTTCACTATTCAATCTTTGTGAAGTCAGTGCGACAGCTACGGGCGTTTATTTCCTATTTAGGCAACACATCCCCCCAAAACAGCTGTGTAATGTAATGATGACGAATCGTGGATATGAAGGAGACCGGTGCGAAATCGCGTTCGCAGCTATGGGTAGGATAAGGCAAAAGCACAGCAAATCCCACGACATTATGTATCCAATTTTCATTCTAAGGTGACAAAATGTACACCGAATTATGCCTGTGGAGAGACCTCTCTGCGCTCGGTGATAATTGTCTACCGACATCGTTGAAGATAGAAGCAATTGATTACAATTAGCAAATTAGCCCTGTACGATACATGTCTATACACTGATGTTTGCATTTTATCTCGAGACAACGTGTATGGACAACACTTGCTGATTTAACGCTGTAAAGCTGTCATATACTCGCTACGTTACTGGTATGCCAACGGATCGGATCTATAGGGCTTGTATCCATTATATATTGAAGAAGACAAGCAAATCAACACCACTCACCTCGCTATGCATTCGAATGGTGACTAGGAGTTGCATTCTCGACGCCGAACCGAGCTCATATCCTCTAAAAGCCTCTTCCAGTCCTGCTGCAATGACTTTCCCTTCGGCGTGCACGATTCACCCAACTGCAATTTCGGGAAAATAGACTCAAAGAGGATTGCCAGTTGCCACATTTCATCTGGGCCAAAGTCATCGTTATATGGCTTGTCCCTCAACGAACCATGGAAGTAGACGTGCTCTAAACCATGTGACGACAGATTGTACGTGTTGAGTTCGGAGGCAGGCACGAGCCTCATCGCAGGTAAATTGACGATACAGAGCTGCGGACAGACGGATGCTAGCTCAAGCACCGCCTGCAGACCTTGGTCGAAGTCGGGCGTCCAAATGCCGGTGAGGTGAAATTCTTCCAGCTTTGGCCAGGCGAATCCAGTTTCGCGAAAGTCATTGGAGGAGCAGGGCGGAACTTTGGGGAGGTTTATGTCGATAACGCGGAGAAGATGCAGATCACGGAGCGGCCAGAGGATCTGTTTGAGTGTCATGTCGCTTGTAAAACGCGTGGCTAAGGAGACTTGCCACAGGGAGTTCGAGAATGCTCGGGCAATGCTCTCGAGGCATTGCAGCATCTTATGCTGCGGAGGTGACGATTTGTTGGCTTTAATGATAATCGCTTTGAGAATCCTGACGGCGGGCCACTCGGATGTTCCAAGGATGCGGCTGACTACAAGAGGGTCCCCCGTGACGCACAATCTGTGCAAATTACGGAAGCATATTCGACTGGAAGGCCAGGCTTCGGTGGGGTGGTATGAAAGCAAATTGAGGCTGAGACTGGTCATGTCATGGCCAGCCTCCAGCAGGGCGATGGCTTGTTGAGGATGAACGGGAGGATAGAGGGAGAGAACGTCAAGGGCCTTGAGCGAGCTAATCAATGGCGCTGCATATGACACGTTCCACGAAGTTCCTCGAAGCTCGACGTGCCTAATATCAGGTGATTTTGAGATGAGGATGGATGAAGCAGCCAGCAATGCTCGCTCAAACTCGTCTTGTTGTGGGCTCGAGGAGAAATGATTGAGCCGGAGATGGCGCAGTGTCGCGGTGGCTATGCATGACAAGATTTCAACTACTGTACTCTCGCATGTGGCTTCGAAGTTTTCCCAGACCAGGCTCACAAGGTTGGGGAAGAGGGGTTCACCTAGTAGCCCGAGAATGTGCCGTATTGTCTGGCTGCGGGTGTTCCGCTGATCTTTCTCCCTCAAAAACACCTTGCGCACACGCACGGTGTACTGACGGAGTCTATCCAGCTCATCGAGCGTAGGCTCCCGTCCGATTGACTGGCTCAGGACAAACTTTAAGACACACGAAATATCAACTGATCTCGAATGAAAGATGCGCACATATGTCCATTGTTCGAGCATAGCCACTGAGGGCCACCAGGTCTCCATGAGCTGGTCTGACCTGATGGGTTCACAGATGGCCTTGAAGGAAGGCAGGATATTGAGTGCAGTGCGCTCAGATGGAATCTCCTTCCAGAGAAAATCTAGAGCATGTTGCGAGAACAACTTGCTGACCCGTGCAGTTTGCGCCAAAGTATACTGAAGGTGCTTGGCCTCGCCAAATCTGAGAGAGTAGAGATGCTGGAAGATCTCATGAAGGATGTCGCTGCACTGGAGGGCGCGATGAGGAGCTTCTTGAGTCGGATAATGAGACCTTAAAGAAGAATCCATTGAAGATGAGAGAAAGAGATTCTGACGCTAGGCCACTGAGCGACAAGAATTGACGCTGCTGGCAGTGCATCTAATACAAGTCAACCGTGATGTCCGTATGTCACCAACCCCCGTTTGAGCGCTGAGCTCGCACCTAGATATACACAGGCCCTAAGGGCATTATGATAGCTTACGAATGTGAAATGGGCTAGATACCTACCTCGAATCGATTCAAATGGACTGTAGGAGTCTTCTCGATTCGGCGGAAGCTGATCTGCACATCTCTGATCATGGCACAGCGAGACATTCATTCTGGATCAGGGTCGCCGTCGCCTCGATAACAAGCCAGATGATAGTCAGGCTTGGATTGACAATAGACTCATAAAGGAGATACCAACTGGACGGTGGCATATTTCCGATTAGAATGTAACAGTGAATAATACACTTACCCATACCCATGTCCACGTCACATGTGCGGTGTAGAGCAGGTTACCGCTGCCTACACTCAGCGTGATGAACAGAGGGTGACTGTAATACCAGGTGAGGTGCGATGTTTGACAGACTGCCCGTTCGAAGCTACCTGGCCAGATGTCGCTGCGGGAAAAGCTGATCAAGCCCACACAGGCCGTACACACTATGCACGAGTATCTCGCACATCTTTCCGCATGCTCGAGCACATCAGGGTAGATGTGCAGGTCACTCATGCCAGAATCATGAGGTCCAGAAGAGCAGCCTATCGAGCCACCTTGCGCTCAAGAGCGATACTCTAGCGCAGCCGTCACCCAGTTTATGTGGCACTCATGTCGCTGGGATAGACCAGGTCAGCATCTACCTGTGGTCCTGGACTCGGATTGGAGACATGCATATGTACACTCCTCATCCTGGAGCTTTCAGATTACATTGACGGGCTGGTCCACAGATGAAGACAAGGCGCTAGCTATAGAATATGAAGCATACAACAGTAGGAGAACACTATGCTGAAACATGCAGCACACGCCCATCGTCCTTGAGTGTGGTAAAGAAAAAGGGATCTCATGGATAATGGTGTTGTGGCCAAGTAGGCGTCGAGGAGAGTTGAGATGGGCTACTGAATGAAAGTTGATAGTGTGCAGATTGACGATACTGAGACGGGGTGCGCTATCATCTCGTAAGAGCGCTCTCCAAGCCTCATGCGCTCGCCAAGGCCTTGTCCGATGCTGCGGGCAGACGCAATGTCTTCGTTTGTCGAATACGATTCATTTCGTTAATAAATGATAACCAATGGTTCCTTCTGCCCGAGCCGCGTTCCTGCGCTAAACATTTCATTTTTTGGAGCTCCAACTTTGGAAAGATAGGCTCAATTTGAGCTGCTAGATATTTAATATCATCGCTCGGCCAGTCGATCCACTCCAAATAAGATGTCTCGATCCTCTGCAAATTATGCGTTGAAAGCCCATGCAGGTGAAGGTGGAGGCTGGGAAGAAGGCCCAAGGAATCCAGGCCCACCATTCGCAGGCGCGGACAAGCGGCCGCTACCTCGAGCAGAATCTGCAGCGAATTATGGTTCGGTTGACTGCTCGTTTTTAACTTGAACGTTTCGAGACTTGGCCAGTTGAGAGCAATGTCGTGAAGCCCGGCGCAGGTAGAAGATAATGGAACTACTATCTCAATGGAGCGCAACAGATGCATGGAGCGAAGGGGGGAGAAAAATGGTGCCAGGGGGATATCGCAATCACAGTGACCGAAGACGTCCAGTTCAGTCAACGACTGTGAGGTGGCAGCGGCAACGACTTCAAGGAAGGCATCTATGAGGCATGGACCATAATTTAAGTCCAAGAAGGATGTATGCAGTACACGGAGTGCAGGCCACTCGCATGTTTGGAAGAGTGTCATCGTCACACTGTGCATCAATTGGACATCCAGTGTGTGCAAAGACCGAAAGCATCCCTGCATTCCCCGCGATAAAATGTTACGATCGTCCTCATCCGTGTTTGTAAAAAGTTGAAGAATAGCAAGATAAGGCAGCGATAAAAGCACACTGAGAACCGCATTATTAAAATAATGCAATTTAGCTCGAACTGTCTTCAGATGCTTGAATGCGCTAATAAACTGAACCGCACACATAGGATCCCATGTCTTATCCGCGCCTTCATCCCAAGACAGGTTCGCCAGCTCAACTTCTTGGATGCGTTGAGACCCCACGGCGACAACTGGAACGATATTTGATAATTGGAGATAGAAAAACGCCTCAAAACGTTCAGAGAAACATGGTGGGGGGTACAGCAACAAGGTCCGAAGGTTCGAGCCCACCATGCATAGTAAGACTCGGCCCACGTTTGCGGTTAACGAGAGCACATTCGCGGCATTCCACTCCAAGCGCACGAGATTTGGGAAGAGAGATCCACCAAGCTGTGCAGAAATATACTGTATAACAGGAAGGCGAACGTCGGGCTGTGCTTCTTCGACTATGCGGACACTACGCACACGGGTAGTGTACTGGCGAAGGCGGTCCAAGTCTTGGGTGAGGATTTCACCGTTAATGAGCTGTCGCTCTTGTGAGGATGCGGAATGCAAGTAGCAATGGCATGGAATACTCACATATGATTCCTCCTCGTTGCCCCACCTATCTGGAACTTCTATCTCTTCGGGATAGTTTATATCGATACGATAGGCTTGAAAGACAGGTAAAACTTTGAGCGCAATGCTCTCTGAAGGGATCTCCCACCAGAGATTGTTGAGGGCGTGATACGAGAGTGTCTTGTTGACGAGTGCTGCACTCCTGAGGGCCTTCCTCGAGAGCCCTGCGTCGATATAAGTAAATTGATCAATATCGCAAGTAATTTCAAAACGGAGATGAGAGAATATCTCGTCGAGGACATCGTCACATGTCAGGGCGCGGTGTACAGCCGTCGACATTGTGGATAAACTAGCGGTAGAACTAAACTAATTCGAATGTTCGAAGACTTGGGTAGCGGAAGTTGAACCAACGATGGAAATGGGGCAAAGTGGCGGCGGCAAGAACTTGAAGCTACGGCCGCCTCTCCGTGGTCGTCTCTCAGCCAACAGCTGACAATCGAGAATGCTGAATCTATCTTCTTCTAAAGCTCTTCAGAAAGTCAGCCAATAGTCGCCTTTATGTCTTCTGCTCTTTCTGGATTTTCTTATTGTAACATTACTTTTACAAGACGTCCTTCCACTACTGCACCTGCGTGGCCTTCTGCCATCCTCTGGGTCACAAAGTCCTGAGTCTTGAAGCTTGAAGCTTGACGTGGCAGCGGTTAATGCGCATTCCTCGCTAGCTTGTAGTGCACCTGCTTCACTGAGTTACTTCATGGGTTAAATCTAGACACTACATCTTCTCTCGTATGATTGTTGTGGGAGAGCGGCATTTGCCATGCCATCTCGCATATGCTATGGGCTGTCAACATAATCGACGTCTGTCAGGTTCAAGTTGATCTAAGGAGGGTGGGCTATGCCATACACCCACTGACACGCACATCATGGAGAGCCTATTCATTCTATTGTTATACTCTCATTGAGGATTGTGCCATCCCCGTACTCTGATGTTGTGAGTTGTGTGATGCATATACCCATAGCGACCTTTCCTGACATTCATGATGCATCATACTTGTCCTGTTAGCTATCAAACTTGCATAGAAGTTGTGTTCAAGCCTACATACCTGTGAAGGCTGTAGCTGTAAAGCTTCTTCGACTTTGCAGCCCTCAGATATACATGTTTGTGATAGAAATGCAATGCGTATTCATCCGCACTGCTTCCATGCAGATACTTTGAGTCACGCATTTTGACTGGAGGATTGTCTGGTGCGCTCTCCTTTATTTCTGTCTCGAGCTTCGTATTGACAGTCTGCAAACATAGCTGCTTTCCCCCAGTCACAATCACCTTGGGCACATGCGCGGTGTACTAACGGAGTCGATCCAGTCTCCTCTTCGAGAAGAGGCTCCCGTTTGGTGGACTGATTCTCAAGCCAAACTTCAGTACACACTTACTACCGACTAGACTTAGACAGAAGATGCGTATATATTGCCCTGTCACCCCTGGCAGATGATCTAGGCTGATAGATCCACAGGTAGCCTCGAAGGAAAGCGATAGGTATATTACGAGTGCAATGCGTTCGGATAGAATCTCCTATCAAAGACAAATCAAAGCATGATGTAAGAACAACTTGCTGAATTGTGCAGCTTGAGCCAAAGTATACTGGAGGTGCTTGATATCCTCGCCGGATCTGACAGTGAGTTTATTGTGAACCATTAGACAGAGATATTGAAAGACTTCATGAGGAATGTCACCAATTTAAGAGCACGATGAAGGGCCATCCGGGTTGAATACTGCTGAAGAGACAGACTGGAGGAGACTCTAACTTGGGATTTAATTGGACCCCAGAAATAAATATTGACGCTGAAGACTGTCAAGCTTCGAATGTTGATGGTTGACTTGAACCTCTCGCCGCTCTCTCTTGCGCACTCCCCATCTATATCATCTTCTAGCTCCTCATGTTTCTGCTGTTCGCACATGAAAAGGTTCCGGCCTAAGCCAAACGACCGACTCAAGTTATTGTGTTCAAATATTATGACAAGCGATGTTGTTTTCGCCTCCGCCTTTCTCGATCGACCGTACACGCTGGTGTCCCCTCCTGCGACCGCCATTTCGATGGCGCTGTAGTTTCATGAGAGGTCTATGAGGAATATCTGTAAGTTGCGTGGCGCTGAAGGAGTCCGGATGAGAATTCAGAGCCTTTGGTGATGCCATTAACTTGAAGGACTTCTTCAAGTTGCGTATCACTGAGCTTAGTCTGTGTTCATGTTTAGGCAGACATGTTGATTATAGATATCCACAGATCACAGGGTACTACGGCTGAACATGACCGCGACATGCGTCCGGCACACAATCGAGTCGTTCCAAGCTTAAATGGACGAAAAGAGCCAGCCACCGTGGGGCTGCTTGAGTTCGCCAGCAGGGATGGGTGTGAGCTGGTTGGGGGGCGAAGACGTCAGTGTCGGTGTGTGTGAGGGCGTGTAAAGGAGAAGGAAGAGGAGAGTCGGATTCGACACTGGACCGCCAACGACTTCGCGGCGCCCTCCCTGACCTGTCTGTGTTTGCAGTCCTTGTTCTCATCCGACAGGCGACATTCGGACCCTGAATTTATCACCGCTTTGCAGCCTACAGCTACGCAACGGACCATAATCGCTGAACCCTGACGGCGTAGGAAACCCTCGGCGCCCCGGCCGCACTTTCTTTCGACAAGCCTTTACCCAAGATCCGATATCTTCGCAAGATGAAATATTCCCGCCCAAGATAGTGGCTATCGTTATTGCATTTGGCCTTCACGTCTTCACCCGACTTTGCTAATATATTTTCCTCCTCGTCCGACCATGGTCTTCAACGTGTATTCATCGTGCACCCATGAGTTCAACTCAGAGACCAAGCCGCATCTGGTACGCCCCCAGTTTTCTGAGCTTAATATCGTAAAGACATTTTGCTCACGCATTGACAAAGTTGAGGTTCAGTGAACGCCGCTTGACGCTGTGCAGCAGAAAAAAGCGCGTCACTAGTCGCGAAACAAGTGGCAATAATTGACAGATTGATATATCAATTTTTGCATCTGGTCTTCTGTGCATCTGCACCTGATTCCAATGCATCTACAACCGCCAGTGGTCTCCGCGCGTTTTGCCAAGTCGCTCGCGGATTCAAATTGCGTGGAAACTAGTAATGGGGTTCTCCACCCCCAACTCGTGTTGCTCATTATGCTATGTCACCTGCTGATATAGAGGGAACCCAACTCTTATACGATCTCGGAACTCGAGACTCGAGACTCGGCGTGAGATGGGCGTCTGAGTAATGTATGGCTGTAGTTTTTGTTCGCTTCACCCTAGTGACACTATGCACTTAGGTTCGTATCAATGCCCAAGAGCCCCCTCGGGCATCGCGGAGGAGCAAGAGACAAAACACTGCATCGCGTCCTGATGACAGTCCGGGTCAGCGTAGCTCAATATGATAACGGTGTCCAAATGCCACACAGTTGCTGGATTATGTCAAACTGACATCTGAGACGAACGCTTCTGATCACCGCATTCTGGGACGCTGAAAAAACGTATAAAAGGGTACTTGTTCTCTCGTTCATCCTCAGCTCCCAGCCCTCGTTCATCTTTGAGCTCAAGCATTTCAAGCACAGGTACTGGCTAGTAAGTCTGCATCGCATTTCACGATCTGATCCTGTCTCATGCGCTCTTAGCCTCGTTGCTCTTCATTGCATTCACCTTCACGACACTGTCCTGTCCACGCCTTTTCACGACCACATCCTATACTATACACCAATTCCTACATCAAACAACCGTCTGCCAACATGCGTTCCTTCCTCATTGCTCCCGTCGCCATCATCGTCCTGTTCGCTGTGTCTGTCCTCGGGCTCCCGAATCCAAGGTACGCCGTATTTCTTCCTCCCAAGGGATATAGATCTCATCCTGTACCACCCCACAGGCCCGAGATCAACCAGAATTCCGCCCGCACCAATGGTGGCGCCCTTGACGTGCTCGAGCGCAGGTTTGAGAAACCCACCTGGGCATCGCACCTCCTGTTTGACCCCCGCTCCATTTACGGGCGCGACGTTTCAGAAGTGCGTCGCGCGGTGCCTGCAGGCAGTGAGGCCCTCAACTGGAACAAGATTGGGCACACCGTCGGTGGGATCATCGGCGAACACATCAAGCGCGAGGACCCTGTCTTTGCGCGTGGTTTCGAGGACGAGCTTCGTTCCCGAGTCTTTGAAGACAAGCTGATCGCTCGTGCGGCAGAGGAGAGCGAGGCGATTAACTGGAACGCAGTCAGGCACGGCATGTGGAGGTTGAATGAGATCTATTGATTAGTGACATCTGACCGTGGTTGGTGTACTCTGCGGGAGGGGGAGAGTAAGCTCATGATGTTGACATTCTATTAGTGTATCGTCAGAGTTACGAAATGCAATTCCAGCTCGTACTGGGGGAATCTGTGGTGCGGAGTGCACCAAGTGCGAGTGAGTAAAACTCAGCTGCGCACTTCATGCGCGGGAGTATGGGGCCCATGTCTCCGCCGCCACTCAAGCACGCGCATAGCTGGACAGTGTCAGTTGTGTCTGTGGCAGAACACACACAAATTATGGAAGAATCGTCTGGCACGCCATGAGTGCCCCATTGCTGTTTGTCTGTCAAGCAACCTTGTAGATACATAGATACAGGCGGCTTAACAAGGCACCCCCTAATACGTTTGAATGCATGGTGTGATGGGACTTGAGCGATGAGCCGGCTGAGGAATGCACCTACCATGCACAGGAGTATCTCATCCACGCTTCTGCACTTGCATACCTGGCAGATCGCTATCTGGCAGATCGGACGAAAGGACATCCCATCATTTCTCACCCACCCTTCACAGCGACCTCGTCCATGTCAGCAACGTATAAGCAAGGCCGTCCAGCGCACACAGACAACATTACGACATAGAAATCCAGCAGCGAGCACAAGATCTGCTTGGGAACATGTATATACATTACTCATCTAAAAGGCGACATCAACAGACTGTTACGAAGATAAGGAAGAAACACTGAGAGCAGAGCGGTCCGAGGCAAAATCTGGCATTCCTGATGTAGACAGCGTCATGACGCTCCTGCGTCCACCGATCAATCTTGAGTATGGCGAAGAGTGTACGAGAGATGCCGGAGGGCCTCATTAAGAATAGTATCGCGATCGAAGCACCATGAGAGACTGAGTGGATATCACTAAGGACGGACTGAATGATAAAATGCAGGTGCTGAGCGCTGAAGTGTCGAGCATTAGACGCACCGTCTCGTTTCGTGGATACTCCAGACTTCATACACTTACCGAGACCTCATTCGACGCTTTATGGTTGGGAGAGGTCCTCACTTGTCGAATACGATTCATTTCATTCAACAAAGCCATCCACTGTCCCCATGCAACACGCAGCATGTTCTCCAGCTTCAGTTTTGGGAAGATTGATTCAATCTGAGCCGCCAGAAGTCCGATATTATCACTCGGCGAGCTATCACGCTCCAAATAAGAGATAGTAATATCCTGCAAGTTATGCGCTGAAAGCCCATGCAGGTCAAGATGGGGGCTAGGTAGAGGTCCCAAAGACTGTAGGTATACCTCTCGTGGGTGGGGACAGGTAGACGCCATCTCGAGCAGGACCTGTGGCGAGTCATGTATTGGCTGGTCCCAGCTTTCAGTAATCTTGAATATTTCGAGGTTTGGCCAACTGAGAGCAATGTCGTGGAGTCCAGTGCACGTAGTAGAACGCAATGGAACCGCTAATGAAATGGAGCGTAGATGATGGAAGGAGCGAAGGGGGGATAAACATTGTGTCAGGGGGGTATTGCAATCACAACTCTCAGACACGTCCAGGTCGTTCAACAAATATGAGATTGCAGCGGCAACGTATTCAAGGAACACACATCCGCCGCATGGATCGGAATATTCGTAGGTTGAGTCCCAGAACGCCATTTGAAGTGAGCGGAGTGCAGGCCATTTGCAGTTTTGCATGAGAGAAGCCGCCACACTGTGCGTCGAGCGAATATCTAGTGTCTCCAAAGAGCCAAAGCACCCACTCGTTTCATGCGACAGATCGTTATAATCGCCCCAGTCCGTATTCGTAGTATATGAAGATTAGCAAGGTGGGGTATTGCTTAAAGTGCGCTGAGGACCAGGTCATCTATGCAATCTATCTCCATCTTAACTGTTTTGAGATGCTTGAATCCGTCGATAAACTGGACCGCGTACATAGGATCCCATGTTTTGTCTTCTTCGCCATGCCAACACAAACCGGCCAACTCGATCTTCTGGAGACCCCGCAGCGAACACTAGCATGACACTCAATAGCTGTTGATTGAACAGATCATTGATGGCTTCAGAGAGACGCGGAGGAGTCAATAATAAGGTCCGAAGATTTGGGCTCGCCACGCACAGCAAGACTCGGTCCACGTTTTCATGCAATGATAACACATTCCTGGCATCCCAAATCAAGTCGGTGACATTGGTAAACAGAGGTCTTCCGAGATGGGTGACAAGACGCTGGATGATGGGGAAGCGAATTCTCGGCTATGCTTCTTCATCTTCATTTATGCAGACATGGCGCACACGATTAGAGTACTGACGCAAGCGGTCCGAATCATGGGCGCGAATTTCACCATCGATGAGTTGCTGGTCATGTGAGGACGCGGAGCGCGAGTAGCATGAAATCCATACGTATGTCGATTCCTTGTCATCCCAGTGTTCTGGCACTGCTGTGCCTTCAGAATATTTGATATCAATAACTTTAGCTTTAAAAATAGGCAAAACGTTGAGAATGGTGCACTCCAAGGGGATCTTTTGCCAAAGGATGTTGAGCGCGTGATGTGAGAATATTCTATTGACGAGTGCAGAACTCTTGAGAGTCTGCGGAAAGAGCACTCTATTGCGATTAGAAAATAGAGAATAGTCAAAGCGGAGATGGGAAAATATCTCTTCGAGGACATCGTCACATCCGAGGGCAATGTGAATTGCTGTTGGAAATGGAGCAGGAATTGTACGGGTCCAGCGTGTCGAAGATCTATACATCGCAAAGCTGATTGACTTTTTGTGTTTCTTGTGGCCACAGCGCAGTCGGAGAGTGCAGTAGTCGTGCAAAAGGAGTGGCGATGGGCATCTAAAACACCCTCTGCGGCCCCATGCATTGCGTGTATGCCGACTTGTCATCGATTCTTTGTTCAAAAAATTTTCCATACAAGAGACAAGACCGCATCTGGAACGGTGGCGGAATCTGGATGGAGAGAGTGCCATTCAGATGATCTTCCGCTGTTGAGTACATTTTCTACCACTGCCCGCCGCCGAGCGTCAACTAGCGGTTGTGTCTCAGCGCAGAACCAACCTCATTTCCTCTAATATCATTCTCCAATTCCACTGCGATGGCGTTTTCCCAAGTGCGCACGATTCGCCAAGCTGCAGGTTCGAAAACTCAGACTCGAACTTATTGCTAGCTGCCGCATCAAGTCATCTCGAGTCTGTACTTCCTCCTCCAATCTCTCGAAGTAGACGTGCTTCAAGCCGAGCAACGACGCGAACAAATCATGCGTCTTGAGCTCGAAAGCAGATATGAGCCTCATCACGGGCAAATCGACAAAGTGCAGCTGCTGGCATGTGGACGCTAGCTCAAGCAACACCTGTGGGCCTTCATGCAGGCTAGTCATACTGGTGTTGACAATGCGAAAGTCCTCAAGCTTTAGTTAGGTGAGGACAGTCTCGCGCAAGTCAGCGCAGGAACAGAGTCGGTCATTGGGGCTGTGTACGTCGATGGCGCGGAGAAGATGCCGATCGCGGGACGACCAGAGAGCCTGCGTCAGCATCGCTCAAATCTGCCTTGTTGCAAGCTGGAGGAGAAGCGCCAGAGCCAGAGGTAGAGTAGTGTCACGGTCCATGCATGGCAAGACCTCGGCCAGATTTTCACCACTGCATCCGTCGCTGGTCCAAAATAGGCGAATTGACGGAATCTAGCTATCCAGCTTATCGGGCGCAGGCTCTCACGCAATGGACTGGCTCAAGACGGACTTTAGCATGCACTGAATATCAATCAAGCTCAAACAGGATATGCGCATATAGTGTATCCATAGTTTGCGTTCAGTATCCGGGCTCTGGTCGGTGCTGTCAGCGGATCTGGACTGAGGATGGGTCCATAGGTAGCCTTGGAGGAAGGCAGATCATTGAGTGCAATGCGTGCAGATGGAATCTCCTGCCAAAGATACTGCGGGCAATATCTGAGGTTCGAGTGGCAAACGTGCGTCGAACGCAGCTTGCAGGAGAGAGCTAGAAACGCACGAGAGGTGCTGAAAGACCTCATGAAGAATATCGTCGTAGCCGGAGTGGAAGAAATAAGCCACTGAATCTGGACTGGTGGACTATGGATGCCCAGCGCTGAATGCGCCGTCTTTGCTCGCGGGAGCTCCAGGCCTCATACACTTGCGAAGGCCCCATCGTCCGACATTGCCTGCTCGAGCGAGGTCTTTGTCTGTCGAATGCGGTTCATTTCCCTCAGCAACGCCAACCAGTCTGTCCTTTCCATCGGACTGCGTCCCAGCGCCCACCGCATCATTTCCTCTAGGTCCAGTTTCTGGAAGACAGATTCAACCTGAGTCGCCAAAAGCCCAACCTTATTGTTCGGTGAATTATTCCACTCCAAATTAGATACCTCAATCCTCTCCAAGTCATGCGATACCAGGCCGTGCAGGTCCAGATGGGGTCCCAGAGGGAGCGCAAAAGCGTTCAGGGCGACCACTCTCAGGCGAGGACAGGCAGACGCCACGTCGAGGAGGATCTGCAGAGAGCTGTGCTTCAGCTGGCTTTCCATGTGAATCCTGAACGTCTCAAGGTCTGGCCAATTGAGGGCAATGTCGTGGAGTCCAACGCAGGCAGAAGGCGATAGAAAGTCCAATTCGATGAAACGCAGCAGATGCATGGGGCGGAGGGGGGAGATCGAAAAATGCGCCAGCGGGATTGTGCAGCCGACATGGCCCGACACTTGCAATTCATCCAGCAGCGGTGAGAGCGTGGCGGCAACGACTTCGAAAAACGCGACTATGTAGCACAGAGGGGGTGAAACATCATAGTCCGTCCGACGGACTCTAACACTTGGGAGAGTCTTCCAGATGGCTGCATGAAGCACACGGAGTGCAGGCCACTCGCACCTCTGGACGAGACTCGTCGCCACACTGTGCGTCGAGTTGATGTCCAGCGTGTGCAAAGAACGGAAGCATCCATGCGTTCCATCCGACAGAGCGGTATGACTATCCCAATCACAGTTCGTACAAAGTCGCAGGTGAGCAAGACGAGGCAGTGATAAAAGTGCGTCGAGGACCTCGTCATTCATGTAATGCACGTCGACGTGGACCTTCTCGAGAAGCTTGAAGGCGCCGATGAATTGGGCCGCACACAGGGGGTCCCAGGTCTGGTATATATCATGCCTGTTATGCCAATCCACGTTGTCCATCTCAATCTCCTGAATCTGGGGCGATCCCAGAGCAAGAGCTGGTGCGAGACCCGACAGCTGGAGAAAGAACCGACTGGCGTCGGTTTCAGAGAGCCACAACGGGGGCCACAGCGCCAAAGTCTGAAGATGCAGACCCGCCATACACAGCAAGATGCGGCCCGTGTTCGCGCTGAGTGAGAGCACATTCTTCGCATTCCATTTCAAGTGAGTGAGGTTTGGGAAGAGGGGACCGCCGAGCTGCGCGGTGAGGCGCTGGATGACGGGGAAGCGAATGTCCGGCTGTGTCTCTTCGTCCACTATCCAGACGGAGCGCACACGGCCAGCGTACTGGCGAAAGCGGTCCAGATCAGCCGCGCTGATACCACCGTCGAGGACCTGTCCGTCGTGTGAGGAGAACGCGGAGCACGGGCGGCACGGAATACGCACGTATGTCCATTCCTGGGCCTCCAAGAACGATGGCACTCCCGCGCGTTTAGGATATTGGATGTCGACGAGCTTGAATTTTAGAGCGGGCAAAACGCTGAGAGCAACGGCCTCTGAGCGGATCTCCCGCCAGAAAATGTTTAGAGCATGATTTGAGAACGTCTTGTTGACGAGTGTCGCACTCTTCAGAGTCCGCTTGCAGATCTCTCTCTCGCCAAAACCAATGCGACCATATGCAGGTCCATCGAAATGTATGTAGGAAAATATCTCCTCGAGGATGTCACCACACTCGAGGGCGCGGTGAGCCATTGGCGTGGAGTTCGACTAGGAGCAAGATGGGCTACTGAGTAGAACTGGTGAAACTAGATAAACCAAAGCTTACTAGGGCTACTCAACCGCGTTCATTCGTTGCTCGCTCGCTTGCTAAGATGCCAAAAAGAGCATACATATACATTTCAGATTCTGCTTGATGTCCAATACATTGCCAAACTGTACTTAGACTTGCATGCCACCAGTCGGACTTGGCACATGATCTTACCTTACCATTTTGTGAATGTTTTCCAAAAGGGAGATTCTGAGCACTAAAATGAAGAAGAAAAAATGTCTGAACGAACGAGCAGCTTTGCAGCAGAGTTCAAAAGTCAGAACGGTGGGGTATAAGCCTACAATTGCTGGGAATTCAGTTCTATTTGGTATCCCAGCAAACAAGCGAGCAACAAACGAACACAATTGCGCAGCCCTAGTCACGATGCATATACTAAACAAAAGTGCCTAAACACGTCAAGACCTTGGCAAGCTCCCTCCCAACATTGAAACTCGCAGCTCGATACCCTCACAGACACGCCCAACCATTCAAACATACGTATAAACATTCAAGAATCGAGCGCAACGTGCGAATCGTGTTTTTGATACAGATGACAAGCAACAAGCAGTAAACGAGAAGACACACCCACCCACACCACGCTGTGTGGGAACGGACCAAAACCGAGGCGGAGGCGAGGGGGAAGAGCGGCGGGACGTGGTAGCAGATACGAAAGACAGGAACTGCGCGATGAGAAGAATCGTACAAGTACAAGCCGGATTGTGGGGAGACCGAAAGCGCGTCACAGAAACGGGCCACGACGAAAACGACGAGTGCTACCAGACATGTTTTAAACGAGGGACATGGCAAAGGAATGATGTGGATGAGTGAGTCGGCAAGAAAAGGAACACGAAATGCTACACGGAGGGAGTCATCGAAGAGACAGGCATGGAAACGAGACGCATGGGAAGGGGAACGCTGTCTGCTGAAAAGCGGGCATGAGCAAATTATATATCACGAGAACGATGAAAGATCGCACCATAGACAAGCTTAGTACGCGGGAGCACCACCGTAGCCTCCACCGCTGTAACCTCCACCGTAACCTCCGCCACCGTAGCCACCCTGCTGCTGGCCACCGTATCCACCTCCACCTAGACAAACAAAACAGTCAGCAATGAGCACAAAGACCAACAGCCGCTAGTTGGCAACCTTGGTCGTAACCACCGCCGGACGCAAACCCACCGTTGTAGCCGCCTCCACCTGCATACAGTGTTAGCCGCATGCCGCGAGCTGAAAAACTGAAAACAATTGCTTACCGGAGTAGCCTCCACCGCCATAGCCTCCACCGGAGTTACCGCCGTAGCCTGCCGAACAAAGTTTCACGAAAATTTTCAAATCTCAAAAGGTCATGACAAACCTCCGCCTCCGCCTCCACCACCGCTGCCGCGAGCGTTGGCAAGGTTGACCTTGATGCGCCTTCCATCAAGCTCCTGCTCGTTGAGGTTGGTGATGGCAGACTGGGCCTCCATGCCGGAGCTGTACGTAACGAACCCGAAGCCGCGAGAACGGCCGGTGTCACGATCGCGCATCACGATGGACTGGACAAATACAGATCAGCATGAGGAGATCTAAACACATCTTTACATCTTCCGACGACACGCCGCGGGGTAGCCAAGCGCGGTCCGAGATCTCAGATGCAGAGGGATGAGACGCGCACATCGAGGATGTTGCCATACGCGGAGAACGCCTAAACACAAACAATTCGCGGAAGCACGAGATCAGACACGGTCAAGTAACAGTAACAGAGCGCGGCGCGCAGGAGGGGCCCGGCGCCGCGCAGAAGAATCAGACTGACTTGGCGGAGGGAATCATCGGTAGTATTCCAACTCAAGTTGCTACAAGAGACACAGAACGCGATCAGTCGCGCTCTCTAACATACAAGGGAAGAGAGCGGCATGCGAGGGGCACGACAGGCAACGACAACTGACCCAACATAAACTTTTGCAGACATGACGGAACCGATTCAGATATGTTAATACAGTAGGGACCTGTCGAAACCTTGGAAGCGATATTGAAGAAACCGAAACCCGGACGACGAACACACAAGCTGGGATCCTGAGGGCGCGAGGAGAGGGGGATGGAGAGAGAGCGCCCGTCGAGCGCGCCCTTTTATGCCGTCCCGCGCGTTTCAAACTCCGGATCTAAACTCTAACTTTCGCATCTTCTCGTGACTCTAGACCCGTCCTTGGCAGATCCGAGCCCCGGCACCGTTTTTGGGGCGAGGGCAGCCGCCGTCCGCTCTGTCGTGTGTATGTAATTGCAGCTAACATGTAAAAAGTAGAGAAAAAAACAAACACATTCGGTGGTGATAGATGCATGCAGATGTGGAACAGAAACAGCCATTACTACGGATACCCGCTCATCCAAAGTCGTAAACAAATTCGTCATATCCCAGGCGGGCTCCTCGCCGCCGCCTAGACTCCACTCTTCCTCTTGTCCTTCTTGTCCTTCTTGCTCTTCGCCTTCCCAATATCGCTCGACACGCTCGCCGTGGGGCTGTCGCGCACGGCGTCCTTCGTGCTGCCGTCGTCCTTCGACGCGCTCGTCGCCTCGCGCTTCAGCCCAGAGATGAACGCACCCGCCATCTTGGGGATCGACGACGCCGAGTCCTGGCGCCGCGACACCGACATCCGCCGCGCGAGCCGCTGGATGCCCTGCGTCGACAGCGTCCGCCGCCGCTTCCCGTCCGGATCCGGCGTGCTGGGCGTGCCCGCCCGCGGCGGCGTCTGCGTGTCCTGGAACGTCACGCCCGCTGCCTGGGGCGTCTGCGAGCCCTCGGGGACGGACATGGCCCGCGTCGAGGCGGCATCGTCGCCAGAGCCGGGGAACGCGATGGGGGCAGGGCTGTCCGAGCTGGGGAACGCCAGGGGGGGAGCAGCACCGGCGCTGGCAGTGGGGAACGGCTGGGGCTCTGGGGTCTGCTCAGCCTCAGGGTCAGACGAGGGGAACGCGACCGGCGCCTCCGCGGGAGATTCGGCCTGTGCCGGCGCCGAGGCCGGTTCCGAGGCCGGCGAGTCTTGAGCGCCATCCCTGCCTGGAGCCGTCTCGCCCACCGTCTCCGCCGCCTCAGCTGCGTCTTCGGCGAGCATCTCTGCCTCCGCCATCGCACCCACAGCGGTATCAGTGCCCTCATCTGCAGCGATAACACCCTCCATCGCACTGTCCGTCTCCTTCGATGGCTCCTGCTCAACAGAGTAGCCGGACACCGCTTCCTTCTGGTGAGAATGCGAAGACGCCGCGTCTTCCAGGCCCTGCACCTGCGCCGCCCACATGTTCGCAAACACTCCGCCTAGCGCCAGCAACTCGGCGTGCGTGCCTTGCTCTGCGATCTGCCCGTCCTTCAGCACCAGGATCCTGTCAACCCCCCCGTCAGTCAAAAATCCCCGACATTCACACGTAAGCAGCAACCCACAAGTCAGCAGACGCGATCGTCTGCGTCCAATCCCCGTCAGTAATCGTATAAATAGCCCAGAACGACGTAGCGAGGGGACGTACAGAAAGACGGTGCGCGATCGACAGAGACGACCGGCCCTGGACCAGGTGCTGCAGGGCGTTCTGGATGTCTTTCTCGGTGGCAGTGTCCAGCGCGCTGCAACACGTGAGACACGCCACAACTACGAGGGCGCAAAGCTTACCTGGTAGCCTCGTCGAGCAGCAGGACCGGGGGGTTCTTCAGGAGCGTCCGTGCGATGGCGACCCTCTGCTTCTCGCCCCCACTCAGCCGCACGCCGCGCTCGCCAACCTTGGTCTCGTACCCGTCTGGGAAGCTCATAATCCGCTCGTGCATCTGCGCAGCCTTCGCGGCCGCCTCGATCTCCTCTGCAGACGCACCAAACTTGCCATAACTAGCCGTATGCCCTGTCGGTCAACGTTGAACAAGCACATGTGACTGCGGCACGCACCCGATATTGTACGAAATGCTCGCGTTGAAGAGCACCGAATCCTGGGGGACGACACCAATTGCCTTCCTCAGACTTGCCTGGGTCACATCGCGGATATCCTGGCCATCAATCAAGATCCGTCCGTCGCCCTCCTTCAGATCATAGAACCGGTAGAGCAGACGGAGAATCGTCGACTTGCCCGCACCCGACTCCCCGACCAACGCGACAGACGAGCCCTTGGGCACCTTGAAGGAGATGTTGCTCAACGCAGGTACACGCTCGTCGTACGAGAAGCTGACGTTCTCTGGGATGATGCCTCAGCGCCGCGCAGTACATGAAACCGGAAAATCACCAACCAAACTCGATCGTTCCGTCCTGCACGACAAGATCCGGTGCGTTGGGCTTATCGTTTACGTCCGTCGGCTCGCCAAGGAGCTTCAGGAGCTTCTCGGTGTCCACGAGGGTTTGGTTAATGGAGCGGTAGATTGTCCCGAGCATGTTCAAAGGAATATACAGCTGGAACGCATGGCGGGTCAGCCAATCAAGTCCATCGGGGGTCAATTAGCTGCAACAGACCTGAGCAAGGTAAGTCACGAAGAAGACGAAATGATATGGCTTTGATTGGCCCCTCGTCACACGCATCGCGACAATCATGGATCCGATGAGAAGACCCAACATCTGCAACAAGGTAAGCACATCGTCTCTGCCATGAATAGGTATCACGCACTAAAATGAAATTTTGCACCAGGTTAAGGAGGTTCAAAGACACTGTGAGCAGTTCAATCGTGTATCTGCAATAATCGAAGCAGATAGGTATACATACCGATGACCTTGTACTCCAAAGCCTGGTACTGGCAGATGGCGTCGCGATACCGCTCAGCCTCGTGCTGCTCGCCGCAGAAGTACTTGACCGTCTCGTAATTAAGGAGACAGTCGGTGTGGATTCCGCGCGTAACCTGTAAATAAACTGAGACCCCACCTCGCAAACGAACCAGTCAAGGGCGACCCACCACGTCGCGGTCGACCATCTTCCTCCGCAGGCGAGTGCGCCACCTTGTAAGAATGACACTTGCCGAAACTATGGCACAAAATCGTCAGAAAGGAGCCCAGGAGATTCGTAGTTGTGCAAGGATGCGCACTGTAAGCAGTCATGACGAAGAAAACGACCAGTGTGAGGGTCCACTCAAAGTAGATGCAGAACAGAATCAGTGCGAGACCAATGTCTATAAACGTGGGTACAACATTGAACAAAAGAAGCTATCCTCGATGTCAGTAAACCCATAACATGGCATAGACGTATAGGACAAGCCCACCTCGAAAGCCCTGTTGACAGCGGCGCCGCGATCGAGGATGCGGAGGATCTCGCCCGTCTTGCGGCGGAGATGGAACGCAAATGAGAGGTTCAGCAGGTGGTCAAACGACAGCTGTGACATTTCTGCATGCATCTAGTCAATATACGCGCACTGACGGCGCCCCCGTGACCACGTACCGCGATCCGAGTACTGCATGACGGGTGCCCAAAGCGTCTGCACGGACACTGATCAGTTGTGCGAGCCCACACGAGGGCATATAGCGACGCACCTCGCGCAGGGCGGCGAGGCCACCGCTAGACTGGAGGAACCTAAGGCCGACATACACGAAAAGGTACACCCACAGCGTAGACGCGTACACTCCCTCCTCGAACATATGCACGAGCTCCGCGAACACGAAGGGCACCATGATGTTCACGAGACGGCCGACGACTACGACGATGATGCACAGCAGCTGCGCGACTCGGCGTCAGCAGAGATGCGTAAAGGCCCGCATGAAAACACGTACTGCGAGGATCTGGAGGCCATAGCTCTTGCCGGGCCAGAGATAGGGCGCAATGCGACGGAGGCGAGCGATGATTTCGCTCCACGACGGGTCGAGCACGATATCTTCCTTGGAGTCCTACGAGCGAGATCAGCATCGCGTTGTGCGCACAGCACGGGCCCAGGACACTCACCTTGCCCTTCGCAGTCGAGCCCTGGAGAGTGGAGGGGACGGGCGTGTGGGTGCGGGTGGTCGGGCCAGAGGGATGCAGCGAGCGCACGGAGGGGCGGAAGGTGCCATACTTGCTCATCTCCGCGGAGACCGGGGAGAGGCCTGTGGACGGCGCGGCGCCCTCCTCTGGGGGGAGAAGGAGGCTGGTCTCTGCGGGGGCGACGCTGTCGTCGGCGTGCACGGGGACGTACGCGACGCGCGGGAAGAGCAGCGCGCCGAGAAGGGGCACGAGGAGGAGGACGCGGAACGCGGGGAAGGAAAAGTGTAGTAATACATCAGCGGAAAGCGGTTCTAGTGTGGCAGGTCAGCATGTTGTGGTGGGCGGAGAAAAGTGGAGATGCACTTGTGAGAGAGCGGCCGACGAGGACGACTTGGGCGATGTCCAGCGCGAGGGCGACGGTAAACGTGGTCTTGAGTCTGCGTAGGGACCAGACGTCGACGCCCTGGACGTCTTTCCAGGCCCCCAGGGCCGCCAAACCGGCGTACGCTGCGAGACCGAGGACGGCGTTAATCTCGATGCCTGTGAGTTTGGGCCAGGACTCGCGGAAGACGGTGTATACGACAAAGGTGAGGCCATCGAGGAGGAAGGTGAGAGCCGAGAGAGAAAGCAGAGAGAGGATAAGGGCGCGACGAGGAGCACGGGAGGCGACGACGACGGAGGTGATGGGGGAAGGCGATTGTGGAGGGGCGGGGCGAGTGAAGATGACGGAGAGGGAGGAGAGGAGGACGAGAGCGGGGGAGACGATGCGGAGGACGAAGAGGGGGGAGACGGCCGGGGATGGAGTCATGGTCGTCGTCGTCGCCGCCGTCGCGCTGGACGTGGAGGAGGTCGTGAAAAGAGAGAGGAGGACCTCGTGTTGTGGCTCGCCTCTTATCCGCTAGCGAGGGTGGATCGGGTCGGAACAATCTGGGCGTCGGCCACTGCAGCCGTCGAAAATAAATGAAACTGCCTGGCCAAGTGTTCTGTCTCTGAGAAATGCAGCGGGCCAGTGCGGGGCTGCTGGGTGACGAAGGGGCCGGGCGTGCTGGGAGAGACAGACGAGAATGGGCCTGCGCCTTTGACCACTGCGATCCGCCTTTTGAGCGCTTCCGTCGCAACGCGCAAAACGCGTGGCGGCTCAGGCGGCACGCGCCACCAGCCCCGGCGCTTGCCTGCCCGGAGGCGGTGCTCGCGGCTCTCCTGGTGTACCCAGTCGTCTACGGCTCCTCCGGAGGTCTTACTATTCCCTCGTCAGCCAAATCTGCGCGAGTTTGGGCTGCCGACATCGTGCGCATGTCAGCGTCGGACGGATACACGAAATCTATTCAAT